TTATGGGGTGGAGAGATGCTCCAAGGACCCCTGGTTTACTGAGATGTATTCGTATATCTCACCCCGTGTTGTAGAAACCCCCTTTCAAGTACAGATGCTGCAGGAGCCTCTAGTGGCAAGTGGCCGTATTTGGAATAGATGGTCATATGTTGATAGCCTGTCATTTTGGATTGCATCACATCTAGGATAGTAGATATATATGCCATTTACATTGCCACATGTATATGTATATTTTGAGGACACATGATGTATTTTGGGGGACTTAGTGCATGATCATTGTAGTGGTGAATGCCTTGTTGTATATGGCTTATAGCTTTGATCATGTTCCTTTTGTAGCTAAGTCCTTTGGCATGTATGTGAAATTTGGAAGAACATTGATGTAATTGAGACTTTAACATATTGATGAATTTATAGTTATGTTTTTCATTTTGATTTGCATGATGAATTGGTAAAGTGTTTGTGGGAAGTGGATGCCACATGGTGGGTGACCATGGTTGGCCTTTCATTGTCTATTAGGTGTTATGACCCTTGAAGAATGAAAGGGAATGGAATTTCTCCAAGAAACTCACCAAAAACAGGGGGAGACTAAGTCTGCCCCAAGTGTTGCGCGCCCAAGCGCGTTAAAAAAACCTGACGATGGCAAAATTTGCAGTCTTTGGGCGCTCGAGCGCCCATTTGAGCGCTCGGGCGCACATCCCGAAAACAGCACCAACCTAGTTTACTAAAATTGGCATAACTCTGTTATCAAAAAAAAAATTGGCATAACTCAAGCTACAGATCTCTGTTTTGAGCGTGGTTTGAACTCACGCGAAGCTAACTGAGAGACCTATAACATAGTGTGAGATGAGAACTGTAAAGTAAGTATAGAAATTCCAATTTAATAAGAAGTGAAGAGAGTTTAGTATTGAACTTAAACAAAATAATAATATGATGTTAAGTTTAGTTTTGATTATTTCGTAAGGTAATAAGGTTATGGTCACGCAATTGGTTATTTTAAACTTGGCATTGTCAAAAAGGAAAAACAAGTAAGTTTTAAAAAGAAAATGAAAAATTTATCCGGGTTTTTAATTGAACCAATGTGATTGTAACTGCGCTTAATATCATAAAGCAATATTAACAAATCGATTCTAGAACGAGGTGTTACATTATACTGTGATTATGCATGAAGTGAACCTAGGGGTGGAATAGCCCTCCAAGGACCCCTAGTTTACTGAGATGATTATCTCACCATGTGTTATGGGAATTACCATTTTATGTACAATAGCAGATAATGCTGAGGCATCGCACAACAGGAGGCAGAAGAGGGATACTATTTGACATGACATGCATGATTACGTTTGTCATTTTTATATGTGTTGTGACTTCGGCAAGTGCACCGGTCGTACAAGTAATAGAGTGGTAAAGTAAGGTTGTCGATCCCACGAGGACTGATTATCAATCACTAAATTATCTACGCGATTAAAGTTGGATCTATGCTAAAATGGTTTTGTTGAGAGAATTAATTTAATTATGAAAACAAAATTTTTAAAGAACTTGTTTTTATTTTTTGTAATATTTATGAAATTAAGAACTGAATTCAAGAATTAATAACGCGAAGAATTTGGTTTTTAACTTTTACTAAAAGACGTAGATAGGAACTCGACTTCCCCAATGTTTTCCTAACAAGTCTACCCTTTCTTACAATCAACATTCAAGATTAAGTTATTAACGATTCTTTCTAAATTTGATTAAATCTCAATCCCTTGGTAATTTGATCATTTACTTTATTCAAAAGTCTAATCCCTTAGAACATTTTCCTAAAGCAAGCATTAACGCAAGAACATAAAGTTATAGAATTTGTAAGCATATCCCTAGATCATACAAACTCTAGCAATTAATCAATCAGAATCAAAACACCAACATCCCTATTGTCAAGCAAGATTGTAATACCAATTCAAGATTGGCCAGATCATAAACAAGACTAGGAATTTAAAACAGATTAATTGCATAACTCAATTCATGAATATAAATTGCAAAAAAGGATAAACAATGTTCAAGAACCCATTAGTTCCATCTCGCCCTAACTACATAAATAGAACTAGCTAGCCTAACATGTTCATAAAATCAGAATAAATAGATGAAAAGAAAATATAATGGTTCATAAAAACTTAGCAGATAAACTCCACGATGAATTCTTGATTTTTTATTTTTCTTTCCCTTATGCAATCTTCTCTAGAATTTCTCCTCTGCCTCTCTGCCTTCGTCTCTGAGTCTTTACCTTCTCCGTCTTCCAAATGTACTCAACAACCTTCATCGCGTCCTTCTTAAAGAATAAAAATGGGCTTTTATTTTTGGGTCAGCTCGCTGAAGCAAGCTGCTCAGCGTGCTTATTTCTTTCCCTCGCTGAAGCGAGCTGCAGAGCGAGCTTATTAAAATGTCTCGCTTACCTTGCTCGCTGAAATGAGCTGCAGAGCGAGCAAGACCAAATCTTTATTAAATTTTTATTTTCCTTTTTTTTTTATATTCTACCAACTGCCTTTTGCCCATCATATTGGTGGTTTGTTCCTTCACGTCTGAAACAATAAAAAGGATTATAATCTTATCTAGTTGTTGGCATTTTTAATATCTTTTAAGATTTATTAATTAACACTATATTCTTAATCATTTTAATTATTATTTGAACTATATTTGACATTAAAAACATAGTGTCTTTGACACTTATCAATATGTACATGGCATGTTGCTATTATTTTGAGTTGTATATGTCATAATATTCTTTTGGAGAACATAGGGGATGTCTATGCCTCATTGATAGTTCATGCACATTGTTCGTGTTGTATGTGTAAGTATACATTACTTACCTAATTACATCTCTTTTGTGGTTTGATGTAATCATGTAAATAACACCATGGACATTATTTTGAGCTTGGATATTTATGTAATAGTCTAGGTCATGGATGGCTAGGCAATATGTTTATGCAGATGTTGGTAATATGAGTTTAATTGCGGGAATTGCAATACTTAATAAAAAGAAAAAAGTTAATCACGTCTAATTATTTAAACATGTTGAGCCTATTATCATATGTATATTAATACACCAGATGCACACGAGATGTTACCGTCTCAAACTCATCTCTTAAACTTCTTATAATTGCATTATATATCACTTAATCCCACAAGTGTTTTTTTCAGAGTGAAATCAAACCTCACTTAGGTTGTGTTTGGTTGGGGAGAAGGAAAAACTTTCCTGGCTAAGTGATGGTGGGAATGTGAGTTATCAACGTTTGGTTGGGGATTTTTGTTAAAGTTTGCCATCAATCCCACTTGCCCTGCAATGCAAGAGGAAGTGTAAAAATCAGATTTTAGCACTGTTGGAGATTACCTTCCAACGGGTGGAATTGTGTGAGGAAATCTGATATCTGAAAAAGGTGGATAATGGGGTGACAAATATACCCCTCCTCCATTTTATTGTGGTTCGTATTTTGTAATAAAACAACAGGTTTTTTAAATAAGGATAGTTTTGTAATTTCAAACAATTTTCCCATCAAAATTCTATCTTTAACCAAACATACACTCAGAAAATTTAACCCAATTTCCCCGGTAAACTTTTGCCGAACCAAACAGCTTTTTTTACATTTTCCTACCAAACTCACTTTCCAACCATTTTCCTATCAATTATATTTCCCTAGTATTCAAAAAATTTCTCCCCAACCAAACACTACCTAAGTGCTTTACTTTTTCCAGGTTTTTAATATCGGTATTGCTCAACCGTTGAGTTTAAATTTACTTTCCATTTTATACACTTTTACAAGTGCAAATAATTAAAGGGTTAATGTTTCTAATATTATAGGAGATAAATTTTATGAGAAAAATATTTCTGCAGTTAATGCAGATAAGTTATTTGCATTTATTCTCAAAACGACGTTGTTTTGGTATTAAAATCTTAAAAAATTATAAATATAAAGACTATTATAACCCTGAAATAAATTAAAATTATAAAAATACCATGATTTTCGTCCCAAAACGACGTCGTATTGGCTTACTGCAGATAAATTATCTGCAGTAACTGCAGAAAAAATGAACCCAAATTTTATTGCCTACATACACATAAAAATTGTGGGACTCGTGTGAGAAGAAGAGAGAAAAAAAAAATATGGACACCACGTATTTTTATGTGTTATCTCCTACGACATAAAAAAATAATAAACTCAATAATTAATTATACCCTGTACTGCATTTTTCTTATTATAGTTATTCCAAACTCTTAATATTCATATTTAGTAATTTAAGACAATTTTCACTTTGGCAGATTAGCTATCACTTCTACAATATTAGCCAACATGGGATTCTAAAATTTCATTTACCTTCCATCATTCATAAGTGATATCTTAGCGTATAACAACTTTGTACTATTTTACTTTTTATAACTTTAGTTTTTTTTATAAGGTATCCTAAAAACATTATTTTAAGACTAATTTTTCAGGTATTTGTGAGGAAGAAACCTTCTAAGTTCTAAACAATTATCTTTTACTGGGTTCAAAAACTTTTTATTCCCCGGCCCAAAAAGTGCGGCTTACCATCTCATTTGTTACAAACCTTTGTAATATAAGCGTAGTTTGAGTTATGCATGATACCAAGAGTTATTTACGCTTTTGAATCAGGCTTCTAACTAATCAATGTAATAAAAATATTATTTCAAACAAAAAATAAATAAATTAATTAATAAGTAAAATTTCTGACGAGAAGTTATGCCATGATGTAAAGAGTACATTTATTATACCAGAATAATTGAATTTAATTACATATCTGCTGATTACATATTCTGCAATCAATTTCCATGTTGCTCATACTTTTGATTTTTGAACGGCCATACAAAAACAAAAAAACAAAAACAAAAAAAAAATCGAAATGAGAAATATAGTATGTGTTTGTGATCCATATGTAAATTAATCTTTTCCACTCTGGTTCATTTCCACCAAGAAGAAGAGCATAAAATCTTTAGCTTGTGATGTAACGTTATGTTATGGTTCATCAACTGCTGAGATGCACTCTTGTGGATTTGTGTAGAAATAGTTCTCAAGCTTGGGTTTTCCAGGCACCACTGATCTTGTAGTTGGGTTCCCTACACGGTCTGCATGTGTTGATTTCACTGAAGTGGAGAATTGGTTCCAATTCATTGTCCCATTTTTGTACTGGTCTAACAGTTCAACCAGAATTTTTCTGTCTAAAAGAAGTGTCTTCTTGAACCCCAAGTACCTGAAAGCATAATAAAATTAATCCATATAATATATGGTCAACAACATGCTAACCATTTTACATGCCTTTCTAATGCAACATAAAATTTTATGCACCTTCTGTGGCCTTCAACTAGTTCTGCCATGTGCCCGCTGTATGAGGGAACAAATATATCACTTTCTATTGACACGTAATAATCCAATGCTGCCATTTGGTTTGAATGATTCCGGAAAGGATCAAGTTCTGAGGGTTCCAATAATGTCTCCTTCTTAACCTATTGAGATAATTGTAATACTATGATCATTTTTTTTACATTGCCAAAAATTGTTAATTGGAGTTCTAAAAATGTTTTGTTTACTAACCAGATTTGGGAAGGCTTGTTTGAGACTTGCCATTCTTTTCTCTGATTTGTATATATCCCCAGCAGCAATATAAACTTGAATATTGCGATCAATGTCCAATGCACGAAGTGTTAGAGCAGTTTCCTCAGGAGTTAGAGGACACAGACCATCTGTCCTTTTCTTCTTAGAATCTATCTCCTTCTCTTTCCACCATGGATAAGCATATCTAAATGTTTTTCAAGAGCAAAGAATGATTTCAGTGTACTATACTTATGAGAAATGCACTTTTCACAACACTTGGCTTGTGTAGAAAATACAAGACAGAGAGCAAAATCTTGAGTCAAGTTAAAATTTAGGTGGGTTTAGTGTACTTTAAATGGTTGAATTGAATGTGTGCAAGTGTGTAAAAGTGGTGTGCAAATATCTGAAAAACAGAATTAGAATTTGTTTTCCTATGTTGACAGAAGAATAGTGCTGCTTACCTCATCTTTGTTAATTCATCAATCTCTTCCTCGTTGCAACCTTCATTGCAACCAGAGAAAGCTATCATGTCCATTTCATATCTAAGATGAAGTGACATGAAAGGCCCTCTCTCCTTAAGAATCCTAACAATCTTCTTGGCCAATTTCTCAATTGGGGGAGCAAATCTCAAAGCTTGGTAGTTCACTCGGCACCGAAGTTTCTGAACTTCATCAGGAATCCCATTGTTTGCAAGCCTTGCATCAGATTTAGTGAAGTGTACCACCTCATATGTTCTTATCCGGGGAAGAATCTATGTTTTTTTTTTTTTTTTAATATATGAAAATTGAAGTTAATTTTTAAAGATTTAACAAAGTATAATATTGTAGCTTTATGCATGAAGGTTACACCTACCACTTCATAGTAATATGTCATATTAGACCAACTAATGGGTGGCATGGAATAGAGTGACTCTAATTCCACCTTCTGCTTCTGTTGGGGAGGCAACTCTTTCAGTATCCGAACCTCATCTCTCAAAGACTTAATGAAATAATCCACATCGAATATATCTTGGAATTGGCTGCCATCATCACAAGTACATAATTTTTAATGGGTCAGTTTCTTTTTGCTACATAACCAAATAGCTAGCTAGCTAGCTAGTTAGTTTTTTCAATGGATCATTCTTGTACCCATGCTTAAAAATTTAGTATAGAAAAATTATACAAAACAAATATCTAATTACACCATCACCTCGATTCCATATGTAAAACTATAAAAATGAAAGTCTGAGGAACATAAACTGATTCCACTCACCTATGGTCATTCCAAAAGGAGGTATTATCCAGCTCAGGAACTATTAGTGTCACATTTAAATATCTGGCGATTGTAACCATGTCACATATCTGCAGCATACCACCGAATTATTAAAAAAAGGAAAAAGAAAAGTAGGAAAGCTATGAATTATGGAAAGTAAGCAATTGTAGGCATAAGTTATGCAAAGTCATTAAAGGATTGATGGGTCAAATGCTTACTCCAGCTCGCATTTGATTTAATCCTCCATTGGAAGAAACCATTAGATACCCATTATTCTCATAAATCCCTGCATGGAAACATTGTGGAGAAGATATTTCATGTTGCTATTCCATTTTGGTAACTCTTTAATGACATTCAGAAACCAGAACTCATGGACTTTAACCTGATTTAGAAACCATGATGTGCGCAAATTCATGCGATGTTGATGCGTACGGTAGAGAAAGTGCACATAATTTAGGTGCTTACATGCAACTATAAGGTCAGCTATTAATGTGATTGATTTTCAATTATTACAATTTTTTTCTTTTTCTGTACAAAAAAAATAAAATAATAAATAACTATGATCTCATTCATGGACCAGAGTAGACAGAGAGAGGCAAATTCTTTTATTGTTATTGGGTTTATGAGTTATACATATAATAGAAAGTAAAATCAATATCTTTAATTCTATTATTTTTTACTATATATATCAGATTCTTTTCAGTTAAAAAAGAAAAAAAGAAAAGATATGACCATCATTTTTGCAGGAGGAGGAATCAATTGTTACTTGTTAAAAACCTTTCAAAAATTATATGGAGACAAAACTAGCTAGCACATTTCCAGATAAAAGTAATATAAAAAATGAAATACTACACAGTTATAATTAATAATAATAAAACTTAGTAGTTATCTTATTCTAGAGCCTTTTATTCCTCTAATTAATGTCCTGAATAGGTAACATTGTAAGAAAGAAGAAACGTACTTTCAGGTGGTAGAGAGAAGGCAGAGTGAGTCTTGAACAACGCAGGTGTTACCGTGTCACTAAGGCCTTTGAACTGCATTGCAATGGTCAAGAACAGCACCACATATGCAACTCTAAGTGTCCAAAGCTTCAACTGTGATGATCTCTTCCGAGCAATCATTAAGAACCTGAGTTTGTCACCCTTAATGCCTTCATGTAACAACCCTTTTATTTTCTCAGCCTTGACCCCTCCAACCATCAAACTCTTCAGAATCTCAGCTTTTAAGACTGCTACATATCTCATCTTACCATATGGTCTCTCCTTTGTATCCTCCTCTTGATCTGAATCCTTAAAATCAACCTTGTTATACACCATTCTGATCGTATAGATGTAACTAGCTAGTTGTTCTTCTTTTTTTTTTTTGTATTTTATATATATGATGATATCTTAAACAAACAAAAAAAAAAAACAGGTTTTCTTTTGTATGATTGGTATTATAACTAGTTGAGGAAATGGATATGAAGCATAAATAATCAAATAAGTAAAATGGAGAAATGAAGAGAAACTTTTATGAGGGAAAGAAAGAAAAAAGAAGTTAGGATGAAAAGTTGGAGTAGACAAGGCAGGGCAAGAGCAAGGCATAGAAGGAGTAAGTGTATTTAAAGAAGAGATTTTGAGGGTACTACTCCTCAGAGGCACACATGGTTCTGTATTTTGATGACTTCATTTTCCTTTTCTTGAGGAATCATTCAATCAATCATGAATTAATGCCTTTCTGTCATTATATTTATTATTATGATGATTAAATTTTAGATATTGTTATTTGTAGTTTATCTTTGGCCCCTGCTATTATCAATAAAAATACAAATTTTTTCTAGATTATTTATAATATGCATGAAATTGAAATAAGATATGTTTTTTATTGAAGATTATTTTTTGTTGTAAGAGTTTGAGGATTTTTTTCCAAATATAGGGAGATTAAGTATTGAGTATTTTGTTTTTGGACATTTTAACTTTTAGGTCAAAGTGATAGAGTGTAGGATTTATTTATGAGGCTGATTTTCATCCATTTTTAGTGTAAAATGTTTTATTATCATTAAATTATGTGTTGACTCATTCACAATTAAAATAGTTTGACTTTTTAATTTTTTTTGTCATAATTAAATTTGTTTTTAATATATGTTTAGATTTTAACTAGCTTATTGTAGTAATATCATTTCATCAATTTTACCGCGATATTTTTTTTTTTAAATTCTACGTATCCAATAGTGCTTGCAATTATAAGCACATGTTCTTGTCGAGGAAAAAATAAAATGTGCACGAATGACAATCAAATTCCCAAATTTCCTCCGACTAATTATTTAATGGGCATTAAATAATAAAATATGACGTAAAGTAAAGGAGTGAGAACTAAATTGTAGAATGTTATCCTAGGAGGAAGTGGAGGGAAATTATTTACAATATGGAGGGAAAAACTTGTTTTGTTAGACGATCCTTTTAAGCCTTTGTTTTCTATATTTATTTATTTAATTATTATTTTCTTTTTCTTTTTTTTGGTAATCTATTATTATTTTCTTTTTATTTAGTTACTAGTCTTCTTATCTATTTTTTCTTTTATTTTTTAATTTTTATTTACTACTATTATTATTAATTTAATTTTTTTCTCAATTATTTTTTTGGTTCATTGTTAACTTAAACTAGTTTGGAATGGAGGTAAAAGTAATGGCGATGTTGATGTTTATGTAAATATTTCATGGGAATTGATTATTTTTTTATTTTTTTTTGTAATAAGGGAATTGATTATTTGTCGACATATATATATATATATATATATATATATATATATATATATATATATTGGATGGATTCGCTTTTTCTAAAGTCAACGTAGATAACTTATCTACATTGAGCTTAAAATGACTTCGTTTTAAGGCGGAAATCAAGGTATTTTTATAATTATAATTTATTTCAGAGTTATAATAGTCTTTTTCATTATAATTTTTTAATCGTTTTAGAAGTGAATGTAAATAACTTATCTACATTCACTTTATAAACATTAAAACCATATTTGGATACTGTCAACATATAATTAAAATCTATTTTATAGAAACAAAAATGATATTTCCAATTATTTATAAACTTATTCTTTTATTTCTTGTTAAATTACGACATATGCATTGTACATATGAATGTTTATGCATAATCATTTTCAAGTTGGTATAGTTCTTGCAAAGATAGCATGTTTTGAATAATTTTTCACTTTAAATATTCACTTATTAGTAAATTAAAAGAACTTATTTCCTCACCAAAAAAAATAAAAATAAAAGAACTTATTTAAATTATCGTGCATAAATTACTTTTATATATATATATATATATATATATATTTATATATGAGATTACGAATATCATGTGACAGGAAGAATTTGTATTTTCCTGTAGAGACATCAAACGTGGGTCCCATCATTTTTAAAAAAAATAAAAAATAAAAAAGTTTGAGCCACAGGTTTCGATCTATCTATGACATGGAGAGAATTTATTGTGGTCCGGGACCACCATTTTTTAGGTGGTCCCATAGTGTAAATGGAAGGATAAAATTACAAAAGAAGAAAAATAACGGGGATAAAATGGAAAAGAAAAAATTAGTGTTGTGAGGGGGAGCACCAAATCATTAGGTAGTCTTGGAGCAAATTAAATATTTCCCTATGACATGATATAATCAACTTCTTGCAAGATAACAATTATAAATCCCATATATATATATATATATATATATATATATATATATATATATATATAGGTGCATTTTTTTTACTATTGCTATAAATTAATTTTTTTACAACAACTGATTACAATTATGTATTACGGGTAGTAAATAGTTATAATAATAAAATTATTTTTTTTCTCAGACATTGTCGGCTGATACGACAGAGAGAGAAAAAATAATTTTGTCATTATAAATATGTACTACCCGTGGTACATAGTTAAAATTGATTGCTGCAGAAAAAAATTTCTACAAGAAAGGAGAAGTAGATCTTCATATATATATGGTAAAGCGGATGAACAATGATTGCACCTAAGGATTGGTGTGGTCACATACTTTAACTATGTCTTACCAATGATATCACATGTTTACAAATCAGAGTCGTTGATCTTTTTTTATCTAACGGCTCTCAGATGAGGTGTCAAACTTTAAATTTGACACCGGTGTCAAAGAATCCTACCTCATATATATATATATATATATATATATATATGACATGATTTTTTTACATCGATGTAAGACTAACAAGTCCTACACCATATCTCAACCGTTGATGGACGAAAATCATTGGTTGTCATTTGTAGTATAATGAACGATTAATTAATATTAATTAATTCATATGACTTCCTAAATTATAACCGTTGGATGCACAGAAATCTAACAGTTAAGATACAGTGTAAGACTTATTAATCTTACACCGGTATAAAATGATCATTTTCCATATATATATATATATAGGATCCTTTGACACCGGTGTCAAATTTAAAGTTTAACACCTCATCTGAGAGTCGTTAGTTAAAAAAAGATCAATGGTGTCACATGCTTACAAATCAGAGTCGTTGATCTTTTTTGATCTAACGGCTCTCAGATGAGGTGTCAAAATTCAAATTTGACACCGGTGTCAAAGGATCCTACCTCATATATATATATATATATATATATATATATATATATATATGTGTAAAATCATTTCTGCAGTCGCTTTACGTACAACAACGACAGGTGTATGGTTATGATTCCCTACATTTAATACTTTCATCTTTTGTATGGTTATGATTCCCAGCATTTAATACTTTTACGTATATATATAGCAAGTATTTGATTGCTGCACATATAGCAGCTGCAGAAATATATAACCTCTATATATATATATATATATATATATATATATATATATATATATATGACGATTTCATATTTACATAAATCATTTTAATTTTCACTCTCTACCAAACATAGGCTAAAAACTCGATAAATGTTTGCGTACATTAAATATTAAAGCAAATAAGAAATGAAAAACTGATGCACATAAATTTACATATTATCAAAACCAACTTATTATTAGGCATATATAACCAATGAGACAAATTTTCAGAAAAAAGACTAAAATTTAAACCTTGAAGTATTTGTTGTATTTGTTGGGAGGGCTTCCTGATTAGGGAGAATGATTGTGCTTGCGAGAATAATATCACGTTAATTGATGTTTACAGAGATACCACAATAAAATATTTAAAATAAATAAAATAAAAAGAGTAAAACTCCAAATTTGTCGGTGGGAAACTTGACCATGGATACATTAGTGTATGATCAATTAAAATTGCACCTATGTTTCCTACCACAAACGTAAGTGACGTTAGTCTATTTGTTAACATGCTGCTGCTAAACTTGTAGAATATTACAAATGACATGTTCAGTTTGTGATGTTGAACTAAATTTTTCAACTGGAACTATATTTTTTGGAGTGCTGAATTCACCATTGAAATCACATAAATGGAACTAATTGATGATAAAGATACTTTTATTGTCTGTCTATACCTGATTTAAAACCAGAAAGTCACCAACATTAACCAAGTTTATCATCTTGTGTTTATGTCATTGTCTATATCATTGAAGGCTTATTAAGATAGAGAATAATGAGGACCATTATTTTGGGCTACCAAGTACTCGATCTATAATTGGAATCAAAACAATTACGTCATTTTTTGTTTATCAATGCGATTGTGATTGCATGTCTCTCTCTCCTTCGTTTGGTGCTAATAGCAAAGAGTGAGCTACACTCTAGCCACTGGCCAGCACATTTAAATAATTAATCTCTTTTTATTACGAAAATTAGTTACCGACAGCAAAATTCTCTTTTTTGTTATTTTCACTAGAGTTATCGCCATATTCAAAACTCTGAAAGTACCACCTAAGAATAATTTGTGAATTCCCATCACTTTTTAATTAATTTTGCCTCTTGGTGGGTTGCATGCAAAACTCATGCTTGACCCCGTCCTTAATCGATAGGTACCATACCTTAGATATAAATTATTATTAAATATTTCCTCTATAACTTGTTCTTTTTGAATAACTTTATTTTTTTGTCTTTAATTATCTATACATGTACTGTTATGAAATTAACTCTTTGAACATTGTCACGATTAAAAATCTTCTCAACAATTGTCTTTACATATTATAATTAATAAAATGATCATGATGTTCCCCACCCCCCCAAATAAACAGTCTTACTTTATAATTTGAAAAAATAACATATAATAGATAAAAACTTGAGTATTAATCAAGTCTTGTGTCAGTGTCAATTTAGTCGTCAATATATAGGTGTGGAAATTTGTGTCAGCAAGTCAAGGTCTAAAATGAGTACGAATAAAGATTTGTGCAAAAACTCTTGATATAAACATGATCCATTCATTTTATTAGTTGATGTAGTACGACATGATATAAATAACTCATTAGTTTTATAATATTTCACTTATTATATGAGTATTAACATGACATAAATAATTTAAAAAAAGATTAATGCAAATCAATATAATATTTGCAGGTTAACACATAATACATAAATTTTTTCCTATCACTTTCGTATTGTTTCAACGTATTATAAAGCGAATTGCCACCCCTATCCATGCATAATCCTCACATCCTTTTTTAATTTTTTATGTCAATTTGTTTTCAAGAATTGCGTTGGTATGGGAAACCACTTGTTCCATTTTCTAACTATTTCATAAGCCCATTTTTTTTCTTTCTGTTTTCCGTCGCTTTAATAAGACAAATCCATGGGCTGACGCATTAGAAGCGCAGCCGAAATTCTTTTGGGTCTATAGTCCTAATGGAAAGTGTCTCATTATATACGGCCTGTTTGGAGGTCTATTTTAAGTTTCTTTTCTTTTTATAAACAAATGATAGGCCAAATAAATTTTTATAAAAGTTTTTATAAACAAAAAAATTGTAAGTCTTTTTTTTTTATCTCTCTTCTTATATGGCCCCATATAATTATCTCACTTATTTTTATATGTGTATAACAGTATAAGATAATTTTATTTCATCTGTCATAATAAATTTTAAACCCATCAATAATATATGCCATTTGTTTTTTTTTTAAGTTCAAGGCTAAAAGAAGCAATAATTTATCTTCTCTCACAAATCGCATCCTATTCCAGCAATCTTAGTAAAAATTAAAATTTGTAACTACTAAATTTAAAAAAAATATGACATTGTCATTACGTTTAGTTGCATTAGGATTTTAGAATCAAACTTCTTACATCCTATTTTTATTTTTTCATAAATCAACGGTCAATAATAAAAATAAATTAATCTATTAATAAATTATCAAAAAAATTGGTTTGCATAATCACGTTAAAACATGACAAAAATTCATTCCCTCATAATATGCATCTACTTCATCATCCATTCCTTCAATTTTACTTAAAAAATTAGCATTGTGATCCTATTTAATATCTTTATCAATTGAATCTTTTTCAATATTTGAATATTTTAATTCACGTCTACTGGTCTCTAAACACGCACTTTTCATGACTTTTGTTCACCTTAATTGTGTATGATAATTTATTACATAACTCAATTAATGTTATTAGATTTAGAATTATCAAATTGAGAACTCCAGTGTCTTTCAACAAAGAAAAATAGTTACCTCATTTTGCTGTAACAAAACACAAGTTAAAAGACATATTATCACATCCTCACATTCCACATTCCAAAGTCCAAAAGGCAATTTGTGACAAAATATGACTAACTTTGCAAACTAGAAACAAAATCCCTCTAACATGTGGAAATTACGATAGTCTACCTTGATTGCAGAGGAACACATAATATTATGCAAAGGGTTAATCGAAAAATATTACTTTTATATGCCTCACTATGAACAAAAGTTCATGAAACTCTAGAATTATAACTCTTAAAACGAAAGGACCTGAACAAATTAGGTCATCTGAAGTCTGTAAGATGTCATTTCATGTATGACATCAGGAACTGGAATTCTGGCTCTGCACTATCACCATTCACCCCAACAACTCTTGTTGGAAGTTAAAGTGGGAATTCTGCATGCACTTTTCAGCCTTCACTCATAAATGCTTCAATTTCTGGCATTAAAATGAACCATACAGAACTACAAAGTCGGTTTCCATCCCCCAACACCCCCACCTCGCACAGGGAGGAAGATTATGCAAAGTGCTTAACAAATAGGAAGTTTCTGCATAACAAGTTAAAAACTTCAAATCATATTTTGATTTTCCCAGTTAGTTACGAAATCTCTTAATGTCATACGAGGATAAACTGGTAACATCATGTTATAGTCTCATCATCTCCCTCTCTCCAAACAGCAAAGCTTGCTAACTCAGCACATATCCAAGTGCTTTTTTCCTCTGTACAGAGTGCAGCAAATTTAGTTATATATCAAGGAGAAGCCATGGAAAATATAACAAGAATCAATAAACAGTGCTGCAATTTATATCATATGAAAACGTTCACCTAGAAAGAACGATAATGGAGAGCTCAGTGATTTAGCTACACAAATAGAACCTACAAAATAAGAATAGATGCTCAAACTTATCTACGTCCCTCAAGCCTGGGTATTGACAGTGAACTAGGAGGATAGTCCTTGACCCAAATGGAAATCTTCCAATGATACAAAATGCCCTCCAACAGCAGCCCTAATAAATTAATTTATTCTTCATTTAAAATCCCAAAAGCTTTCATGAGGAAAGCACACTCATAAGCTGTTTCATCACATTGAGCGTAGCGACCACCTTCCCCAAAATGCCCTCCTATCATACTTGTTTTCATGATAACGGCATGAGAACAATGAGAGCAGGTACTATCTCGTACTTTAGCTACCCACTTAGCACCTTCCCAAACTCCAACCCTGAGAATGAATGTCAAATGCTAACATCAACCGTTTTGAAGCAACCAACAGTAGTTAAATGCATAATTAGGTGGTAAAGAATGCATATCAATAAAATATATATGCATCTAATAGATGATGGGCAAGAGTGAGATTACCTTGAATCGTTAACTGCTGCTGTAACCATAACTGAAGGAAAGCAACTGCCTTGAGGAATGTTGTCATAAGGAGAATAACTAAAAATAGAATCAAATTGCGACTGTATTTGAGGATTTCCAAATTCTTCATAATCCAAAATTGTGAGGGGCAGACTGGGATCCAACAATGTGTTGCATACATCAAGAAATGGTACCTGATATATATAACCCATCTGATTATAATAAGCAAGATTTTTGAAAATAAGAAATTGTGGATAAAGTAAGTAAAAGATTGATAAAACTCACTCTCCTTATAAATCAAAATGAGTGAAATTATTTAATTAATGAATTACCACAGTTTTTCTTTTAAATTGATGCATAAAAAGCAGAGCAGAGATCATTAGCACAAAAATACATGATAGATGATGTGCATGACATAGACATACATGCTGGATCAAGTTGCAAAAGGCAAGTAACATTTTACTTAATGGACATTTAAATACAAGTTCCAAATAGAGAGAGAGGGAAGAAACAGAGAATCAAAGGGCTAACACAGTGAAAAATGTTTTCGCTTTTCAGGGTATCAAAAGCTAATCTTGGTCCTCCATTCATATTACAAGTTAGATTATTCACTATAAAAACCTGATATTTTGAATGTAATTTTTGCCCAGACTTCAAAGTTCTGCCTTTCTACTAACTTTGTTCAGCATAAGAATCAAATATGCTATCACTATTTGTTATATAGGTTTTTTTTTTTTTTTTTTATACAATTATTTGTTATATAGGATTATAGGTTTAAAAGTGACAATTGATTAGTCTTTAGAATTTTGACATTATTGCAACAAATGAGTTCTAGCCAAACAGTAGATAAATGATGCTAATTAAAGAGCTTAAATTTGAAATGTCCAGAATCTTTTCTCACGACTCACCATCTCTGAGAAAATATCCTTCACAATAAGGTAACATTCACAATTATATAAAACTTACCTTTAATATGGCAGCACGAAAGAGTTGGGGATACATATTCATAGCTGCACCAACAAGAAGGCAGCCTGCACTCCATCCAATAGCGCCTAGCTGATCACTCTGAACATAACGCTCATTAACCAGGTAGTTGCCACAAGATACAAAGTCAAGTATTGAATTGTGTTTGCCTAACCCACTCCCAGATTTATGCCATGAAGGACCTCCACCACCACCACCTCTGGCGTAATACAGGTTTCCACATAATTGAAATTATGTATATAGAAGTTAGAAATATCATAATAAAAACTTTCATTTATTACAGTCAATAGGGCGATATAACAAAACCCAATATGCAAAACATTAAATTTCATTGATCTCAACTTGTGAGCATATCATAAGAAACAAGCCTATGCCATATATAAAAGACCAAAAAGAAAACCCACAGAGCTTTAGAGATAAATGTCAAAGTCAAACAACCAACCTTACATCAGCAAATGCCACAACCCAACCACGGTCCAGTAAACTCAGGCGATCTGAACACCAGCTCTTATCCAGATCTTCTCCATATGCTCCATAGCCTACTAAAAGTCCAGGGGATTTACCCTTCTGCCAGGATTCTCTAGAGTACACGATGGTTAGTGGAACCCTTGCACCATCATGGGAAATAACTTCCTCCCTCTGACAACAGTACACTTGAGAAAAGTCCTTCCATCTCTGTGAATCTGAATTCGGGGCACACTCTTTCTTATCACTAGGTGCCTCTTGAATTTTATTATTATTTAGCTCAAAAGCTGAGATGTATGACTGGCCAACAGAATCACAATTCACTTCCTCTTGATGCACAATTGAATATGTATATCTAGACATGTCATAGTCAACAATTACATCCGGCATCTGTTCACTCACCCAATAAGGGAAAGAAGTTTAATATCGAAGTTTCAATCATAAACATTAAATGACAACCTTTATGATAGTAATTCACATTTAATAAATTTAAATTAATACTAGTAATTATGTATCCTTGTTACGTAGATTTGAGATGTGCCAATTTGCGGCAAATCAGAGATCTCTTCACGAGGGCATAGACTACATAATCTGAAGCTGAACTATAGTCACAATTCACAAGCCACAGAACCATCATTGACACTAAAGGGCTAAAGGCTCAACTCCCACAATTATAAGTAAATAGCATTTGAAGAGTGCCCCCAAAATATAGATTAAAGCAGGTAATAATGGCAAATGGAAAACACGACATGTAGATATGGAGTGGACAGTTGAAAATTACAACCAGATCTTTGTTTCCAAATCTACTAGGTTTGTACATAGAAAAGTGAAGCAACATATTATCTAACTATTGAAATTAGCATTACATTATACAATATTACAATGTGAAAATCTGGAGGAAGGGCAGGTATTCAATAATGCAACTGCATTGAATTCCTTTGCCATGTCTTGCTGCTCTTGCAATGAAGTTTAAGCATATGAGAAGGAAAGTCTCCATTTTAAATATATTAATATATTATTAGAGAAGAAACTGATCTGCAAGGAAAGTTGTCGTATAAATCTTTTTTATGTTTAAATTTAAGTGACAGACTGACAGCACCTGAATCATGTTACCACTTACCATACTAAAAAAAATAAAAAATAAAAAGATCCTATAACATCAACGTCAAAATATAAATCATAAATTGTCCACAAAAATAAATAAAATAAAATTATAAAAATTAAAAAGTCGAAGTAAGCTGTCCCCCTTTTCTGCAAATGTTGAGGGAAAACACAAATTTAAAAATAGTTTGGATTTATATAAGCAGTCGGAACTTGGAAGTGTAGTCACAAAATATTTTTACATATTACAGAGAGGCTAAACTAAGTATTGCATTGAAAAAGGAACTTTGTCTATAAATTAAAATTTCAAATAATGTCTCTAAATGGAAGGATATTCCATGGTTCAATATGCAAAGCAAAATAATAAACTGACATTCAAATATGGGCTTTGATAAATTTTTGAAGAATGTTTATGAATTCTCAAGGATTGATAAGATAAGAAATGAAAATGTTCAATGAAAAGTTGATGTAGTATCAGAGGAAGAAAAGATGAGAAAACATAAATTCAGATAGTTTGGGCATGTTCTTCGAAAACCCTTACATGCTTTGGCAAGAAAAGAAATTTGTTATTAGATCTTGACATAAAAAAAGGAAGAGGTCAGCCGGAATTTACTTGGTGAAAAGTAATAAAATAAAACTTAATGGAATGAGAAATAGATTGGCATGAGGTTGGTCTTAATACGGAGTGGAGGAAAGTTATCAACATTGAGAAGGTGTAGAAATTGTGCTATTAACTCTCTTTTTTATTACTCTTCTCTCTCTCCTTCTCTAAGAAAAAAAAATTAATTTTAAATTTTTTATTTATTTAATCTAATTATTATTGCATTTATATGAGTTCATCGGCTGCCGATCCCAATTGGTTTGGAATATATATAGGTGATGTTGTTGTAGTTTATAAATTCTTAGTCACATGTATTCAGCACTTTCCTCATAATACCCAAAAGTTCAATATTAATAAAACTGTTAAGGATTTTAACAAACACATTCACATTTAATGATCAGATGAATTAAGCAAATCATCATTGAATCTACAAATGTGTATTGCATTCATAGTCATCAACAGTCATACCACAGGTGATGAAAGCACCACACGATAAACCGTATTCAGGAAGTCATGATTTGAACCAGGAGTGGCACTGCATGCGTTTGATGGCAGAGGAAAGTACCATGGTTTCAAGTCTTGAATATACACTTGATGCTACAAAGCAACACAAGATAAGGTCAAATATACTGCAGGTAAGTTTCAAATTGGCATAACATAGTTTATATTTCTTCTTAATAGAGATTTATGTTTAGTTTATATTTCTTCTTAATAGAGATTTATGCTAAAATTAACAACTGATACACTCTAGAGAAGAAAGTGAAATTACCAGCTGCAGAAAAATAATATGCATAAATAGAAAATATCTAAAAAGTTCGCAATATCTGCAAACAGATCACATGCAACAAAGATTATCTATAACTTTGGATTTGCACATTCATATTCACATAATGTTATGGTCTCTTCTGGCAATGGAAAAAAAAGAGGCACTGAAATCTAAGCTTAACATGTTCATTGTGCAGTATTGTATCTGTCACTGCTATGGAATACAGTTTTATATCTAATGAGACGACTTGCACAAGTGGAGGCAGAGCAAAGCAGCAATATACTCTTCTTTACATATCTTTATCTTCACCAAATTACTACAATTGATTAGTATATGTATATGTAATTATGTATGTATATATAAAAAATCACTCCCCATTAAACCCTGACTAGCGAAGTTGGGGTGAAGGCAATCCTTGCAGAGCCTTACCCTCAGATATTTGTAAAGAGGTTATTTCCTATATTCGAATCAGTGACTTTTAACTCACAAAGGGACAACTATACCACTACTCCAAACTCCTTGATATCAACATCAACATCACATTGATCCCAAACTAGTTGGGATAGGTGGAAGATGAACCAAAATGAAAAGTATGAAAAAATTGAGGGAAAAAAAGGATAATCAAGATATATATATATATAAGGAATGAGGAAAGGAAAGCCGGTGAGAAACTCTTTTGTGTGATCATATTGAAGTATCCTTTTCTTTTCTGTAGTTTACATGGCATATTCATCATGATCAGATGGTTTAGATGCTGAAGTGGCAAACTAGAGAGAAAAAATATTAACATAAACCTTCCTATTCCAGGGGCAAACAACACAAGTTACTAAAGTTGCAATTCATATACCTTGAAGTCATTTTCGATAGGAACGTTCAAGGAACATAACAGAGGAAGACCTTTCTTATTGAGGAAAAGAACCAGATGTCCATTAAAAATGTCCATATCACATAGGCTCGTATCTTTATCAGGAAGGATGATATTCTGAAGGATAATATAAGAATATCAAAGAGGAGTTAGAGACACAATAACATTCACACATACACACACAGAGAGACATAATAGAGAACTCAAAAGCAAGATGTATGAAAGTGATCAGACATAACCTGCAATTTAGCTGACTGTATATCTTCAACTTGGCATCTGACCAGGTAATAATCTTCACCAGACCATTGACCATCAGGCATAGGAGCATTGGTAAGGATATAAAATAAACCAGAGTGATGTTCCACAAAGTACTGCACACCAGAAGTACGTTTGCATATTCTTTGTAAACCATCCATTGGATTGGCCGAGTCTATAACATAAACCTGTTAAGCAAAAAGATCAACATATCAATAGAAAAAAATAATCTCATTATAAATTTATAAAAGAAGACATATAAGTCCCTTCCTCCGATGAAGTCCTTGAGTTTGAATTCACAGTTATGAACTTGCCATCTTTTGTGCTTGTTATGTCCACACAAAAACTGGAATCGCTTTCAGTAAATACTGGGAGATCATTCACATGATCATATCCAAGTTTTCTGCAGAGAACCCTGCCATAATATCATATAAAAGTTAGGATACTATCTTAAGCTAAAATCCATTCCCTTCCCCAACCCCAAAAAACCAAAATAAAGAAAGAAGGGGAAAAGAAAGTCCAATCATAAATTTTACCTGTAAGGTCGCTGGTTTTCATCTGACAGTGTATAAAACAGAGAACTTGCATCTTGAGCCCAGGCCAAGCTAACAACACCATCAACTTCCAGTTTCGAGTCTATTAATCCATTTCTGAGGTCTTTTACCTGAAGCATGAACCGTTCTCCACCAGAAATATCAAGAGTGTATGCTAGATAGTTGTGGTCAGGTGAAACTCTACATGTTCCAACATGGACATACCCTGCAATATTGACTATACTGTAAGCAATCACCAGTAGGGGAGGAAAAAAAAAGTTCAAACAGAATTTAACATTTAAGCTATCCCATGAAGGCTGGCTAAAGGATCAAATTGTGGACTTTTAAAATTTAGGGAAATAAGATTAATAATTAAACATGTCACGCTTGCATTCTATTTTGATTAATTACTTTACATTTCAACAATAATGGTAGATGCAGTAAACTAATAATTATCTAATTCCAGAGCCAACAGAGTAAGGATGTCATGTTTCTATCAGATAATCATCTTCTAACACCATTAAAAAATGAAAATACAAAAGGAATATTAAAATGGTGAGTGCAAGATGAAATTGCCATATTTCTCTGCGAGTTCATTCCAGTCAAGCAAAATCTCCTCCTTTTTTGTTCCTGCCATTCCATAGTCAAGCAAACTATTCAACCAACCAATTCTCTCTGTCTCCAGCTTCCTACATAGCACAGGATATTCCTTCCCCTCTGGAATGTATTGGTAATACAACCTAACCAAGAGAAGTTGAAAAAATGCAATCAATTAAACTCAAAAAGAACCCCAAGTATAAAGAAATGGTACTTTGCTACATTTAGTTTCTCACTTCAACAATTCTATAGTTGCATTTGTAGTTAGTTTCGCACTTTCATAGAGCCTTAGCTCAACTAACACATGCTCAAGTAGCTTCTGTTATATACTATATAATCTTAAATGAATAGTTAACATTAGTTACCACCCTCTCACCAAACACTTAACAAAAATGTGATATCAATGATCTTATCCAAAGCAATTATTAAATAAAACCTATCATAATTCAAGAAATATCTTATGGCTTGTTATAACTAAACTTGTCTATTTTTTTATTTTTTTTTATTTCTACATGGAAAAAAGAAAAAGAAAAAGAAAATGGAGGAACCAGGGTCCCCAACGCTCAGGGGGAGTGGAAATGGTGGCGGGTGATCGGGTCTTCATCTCGGAGGACAACGCGGAGCGTAGTTTGCAGGTGTCAGCCATGAAAGCTTCGGCATAGCTGTTTTCGCGGTTGAGATGATCCAACAGATCCGGGTCGTCGGTGTTGCACATCCAGTGATAACGATCCTGCCACGTCTTGCCGTGAACCGACACCGTGAAAGGGACCTTCTTCGCGGACGGCGGAGCTTGCGGCGGCGGTGGCGGCACCCAAGGCCGCCGGCACCCGGAAGAGAATAATGAAGCGTGTATTGTGATGCATGAAGCACGTGATCTCGTAAGTGTGAGTGTGGTGTTGGAGTGAAGAAGGGTGCGGAATGCCATGGAAAACTACTCAAATTCGTTCTCAGTCATTAGTAGTCATCGTCACTCTATATTTTTTTTTCTTGGTTTTTTTTTTTAAATTTTATGTTAGAATTATTTGAGATTATGATATAACGATTTTTAAGTTTATAAATTTTAAGTTGTGGAGATTTGATTTGTTTTTTCAAAAAAAAAAAAAAAATTGAATATTATTATTATTAGTATTTGTCTAAGTTCAATGTGTTTTTGTTTTTTTGAAAGGTTTAGAATTTGAATGTCAATGTTCCTCCATATAGGAGTTTCCCTCGCATTGTTTTAGTATTTACTGAATGTAGAAAATAATTTCGTTATTAAGAGATGTGTGTAAAAGTTTTTGAAAACACTGCTCAGAAAGAAATGATTCAGTTTTTGACAGAGTAAGCTTATAAGATGAGCTACCTGCATGTCTACTATTTGACATACTTCCGCTAAACAGAAACCTCAAGTTAAGAACATAAAATTTCTAGGTTACAAATAACTTAAAAATGATGTTACAAGTAGTTTGGTGGAGGATAAATTTTTTAGTGATGGGAAACAATGATTCTCAAAAATATAATGGGAAAGTTATTTTTGTGCGAATATTATCAAAAAAGTATTTGATAGATTAAAATATTACCAAAATTTTATTTCAAAACAAGTATAACTTTTTTTCAACACCTTGAATTCCTGAAATATCACCCCTTGGGTGGCATTTTTTATGATATTTTGGAGAGAGAGAAATTGTGCACAAAATAAAATATCAGAAAAATAATATTTCTGAGAAAATTTTCAAAAACCTTATATCATACGTGAGTAAATAGAATTACGAGTATCACTTTTTCGAAAATCTCAAAAAATTCTCCTTACCAAATATTTTTCTTTGGTAAACAATAAACAAGGCAATGAACAATTGAAGCATTTTTTTCTTTTGGGTTGCTTAACATTACCTTAGCTTTGCAAATTGTAAAGAGCTATGTAAATGAGTAACTACTTGACTAGTTAACTTCTACATAATTCGAATGCTACTGGAGCAATGCACGGTTTATAGTGTTGAAAGTGAAGACGACAACGGTGCAGGAATAGCAACAGCAAGGACATGTGGGATGTGCATGACAACCTTTCCGGAATCAATTCTTTTTTAATTTCTGTTCCTGGGAACAGAAATGGATAGGAAACTCATTTGGTAAAATCAGTTTATTTTTTTGTACCCGGGATGAACCGGTTTAATTTTTGTGCTGGGGAACAGAAAAAAGAATCAAAAAATTTCTACTTTTTTGTTCTCAGGCACAAAATGAGAAACACTTATCCCTCTCAATCACTCTCCACCATCGTACCACTAGTGTCGTCGTCAGCACCCCTCACCACCATGATGCCACCACCACCTCCACCTATCACCACCACCACCACTATCATCGTCATCACCGCCACCACCATCATCGCAACCACTGCCGTTACCGCCTCCATCGCCATCACACGCCACTGCCACAACCCTCATCGCCATCACCACCACCACCACCAGGACGCCACCACTACCATCACCACCACTACTATTGTTGCAGCCACTACCGTCACCACCACCGTCATCACTGCCGCCGCCACCAACCACCACCACCATCGTCACTGCCATTACTGTCACCACCACCACCATCGCCACCATTACACCACCCTCGTCACTACTATCACCACATCATTGCCACCACTGTCACCTACCGCCACCGTCGCAGCCACTGCCACCACCACCACCAAGATGCCTTCACAACCACCACCACCATGTCACTGCTACCATTGTTGCCGCCACCAACCACCATACCCTCCACCATTGTCGCAACTACTATCGTCACCTCCACCACCACCATCCCCACCACTACCACTGTCGCTGCCACTATTATCACCGCCATCGTCGCATCCACTGCCGTCATAACCACCACCACTATCTTCACCACATCACTGCCACCACCACTACCGTACCACCGCCACCGCCACCACCACAACTACACCATGTGGAAAGGAAAGTGATGATCCGAAATTTTTTTATATTTAATAGGAAATATTTTTTATTATATTATTTGTTGTGTTATCAAACACAATTCTCATTCTCGGAATAAAAATAGAACATGTTATCAAACATATTTTTTTTTCTCAGAAACTATTCCATGGCACAGAAATAGAAAAGAATTGTTTCTTTTCAGAAACATTGCTAGGAAATAGAATGGTTGTCATGCACACCCTTGGTATGTTGGATTCCTCAAGATTCCCGAAAAACTAAATTTTTTTAAATTTTAAATTTACGAATATTATCATAAACTGAATGTAAAAATTATATTTTTAAAAATTGAGATTCTCAGCTAAAAAAAAATTTCTCCTGTACCAAACGTCCCCTTAATGGCCTACTAATGGTGGTGGTATTCCGCTAATAGATTAAAGGGAGCATAGGTAAACAATGAAAGAGAAATTTTTTCTACTGTTAATAATGACTATTCATTTTTCGTGCCAATTTTTTTTACTTTTTTTTGTCACTTGAGAGTGGTGGGGCTTATCACTTTTAAACTTCTCGTGCAATAAGAGAAGTTAAAAGCCCAAAGATAAAAACCTTCTCCAAAAGTTCCCATCCCAAAAAGAATAAATAAATAAAATAAATAATAACATTATCAAAAATAATAAATTGCCAAAAACATTCTTTAAATCTTGAAGAGTTGTCAAAAAGGGTCAATCCGTTCCGCCTCACCTATAACCTGCCAATCCGTTTTAACTCATACTGCATATAGGCAGGTTATATTTGAGTTGATAGGTTAAAAATACACAACTCAACCCATCTCATTTTGGCATGTTGGCTTGTTGACTCATTGAATTCAACCCATTTTGCCTTGTCTTGACCCAAACAAAAAAATGTGGCACTATTATTCTAGAATCCTGAAACAGTTCACAAATTGAACCTTGAACCCTTTTACTCTATTCACAATGCCAACCACTTAACAAGCCCGAGAATCAATATGCTGATGTTATTCACTGAAATTAAAACATCAAATAAGAACTTTAGGAACAGTAACAAATAAGATCAACTGTACAAGGCAAGCGCAGTGCTCCCCACCACCAACTTTTATCTAGAGTTATATGATTACTACAGTTTTTTCCACTATATAGGGTAATACGGTAAACAAATAAACAATAACGAATTACTTCAGTTTTTTCCACAAGTTCACCAAATCTACCCACTGCCGCAGCCACCATTCTTAAACGCGAGACTGCTGCAACCGTTTTAACTTTACCGTTCACTGATATCTAGGTTAATTGCAAGCAGCAAACTTCAATTTTACTTCAGTCTCAAACAAAAGTAATTGGGCATCCTAAACTGTTGCAGCAGATATTCTCTTCGCATGCTTCTCATCTTCAACATCCTGAAAGTTCGCACAACATGATTAATTAAAATCATCTTATCAAGAAAAGCTACCTGCAGCTAAAATTTTCTAATCAATGCTGAGGGAGGTCAATTATACAAATAAACTCTCAAACATCTGAAAAACGTTACATGCTGTCTTCCTGACCTTCCTTCTATTTCCCCTGCCACTCTTCTCTGTGTGTACGTGCACTTGCTCCCCGGTTTCTCTCATTTTTTCTCTATTTATAAATACTATTTTATCTCAATTAAGGTGGCTAGAGAATAGTAAATGAAAGGAAAACAGAAACCCATAGTGAATCAGATAAAAAGCACTTACAGAATTGCCAATCTTGTCAAAATCATCATCAAAGCTGCCCTCACCATCCTCTGAAAGATGGAAAAGTAAATCAATATCAAGGTAGACAAAATGACAAGATTATAACAGATCACGACATATAATAATCTTAGTTAACCATCAAAGGCAATGTCCGTCCAAAGGTTTCAAAATCAAGTTAATTCTCTGGAAGTTTAAGGATGATAATTAACGGGAATGACTCATGCTTTTGCACATACAAATTCCTACGTAATGAGCAAAATTTAAGTCACTGATCCGAGACACAAAATTGAAAATGTCATCTTAGGCTGCATATTTCTGCAATATAAGGCATGCTTGATTGTGTTTTGTTTTTTTTGTTCTTAAAACTATTCTATAGAATAGTTAATGAAACGAGTGTTTTCTGTGTTTTTTTGTTTTGAAAGTTAATAGCCGAACACAAACAGAAACAACTGAAATATGTTCTCTAAATTTGATTCTAAAAACTAAAAAACAGTTATAATTTTTAGAACTATTTTTACAAAACATGCGCTATCAAACATGTTTTTTTCTTTTTTTTCTTGTTCTAAATATTAAAAAACTGTTTTCGAAAACAGTATTCAAACAGCCCATAAGCTAAACAAAGTTTGAGTAATATACCTGGAGCTTCATCACTATCTTCAAGATCTCCAAGAAGAAACGTATCCAAGTCTTGCTCAGTAGAGGATGCATTAGAGGATTTACTCTTCAAATTCTTCCCTGTTGCTTCTGCCTTGCCAGTTCCACCAGTTGCAGCACTTTGCTCTACCTTAACATCCACATTTTGCTCTGCTGCTGCTCTGAGCTGAACCTCCTCCATATATTGCTTCTCATACCTGATTGTAGAATCAAAGTTATTGAATGAGGCTAACTCAAAAAATTTACAACACTGCCCACATAACAAAAAAAGTAACAAGCAATGTCAGAATTCTCGCAAAGATTAGAGTAAGATCACTTCATTTGTTTTTTACATTTTACTTTTCAATAATCCTCGTAAACTGTTACTAGCTTCTATTAAATGAAATTTAATAGCATAACAGGAAGAAGCCTTAGCTAGTTAGCTCCATATTCTCCGTGAGGATCTTTGTCAAATACTTGCGCAGCCAGACTTAAAACCAGGGTCCTTTTCTTCAGAGAAAAATTTCCTAGTGTCACATCTTTCAGCATACATAGCCAGATACGCTAGACATGAGCCAGAATGGTCAATTTGGCCTATTGAAACTATCTAATATTTTTCATGTAATAGTATATATCTAGAATCCTGACTTCAAAGAAGAATACGAATACATCTTAATATGCAATTGCATATAATATATTAAAAAAAAAAACTTTAAATGCAATTTCTGAGGCATAAATTTCATACATATGATAAATAAAGGATTAATCTATTTGGACGACATTTGAATCATTGAAATGAATAAGTTGTTCTACCATATTTTTTATTATTTTATGTATCCTTTTATTTTTATTTTTTATTTCTTATGTTTTTACATTGTTCAAGAACAATTTGATTTTACATACGTAACAAAAGCCAGAAGAAAAGACTTTCTTCTGTTAACCACTAGTGTATTTTCTATGTTTCTTTCTAGTACTTCTTCCTTTTATGTAAATATTTATTCTTTGAAGAATAAAGAAACAACCAGAGTGGAGATTAAACAAAAAATGTTTCATAAAATAGTAATATTTGTATACCTTCATTAATACATCTAACATAGCTAGCATACGAATTATTAAAATGATATGCTACTTACGGAGCCACATGAGTGTTGACAAGTGTGAAATATATCTTCCAAAAGTGTCTTTCTTTCATAGCACGTGGACATAGTTCATATCTCAACCTTGAAATTTCCTGTAAAAGAATAATTACTAAAATAGCTAAACAGTTTTACAATTGCAAGTCCATGATAATTTGCATTTTTCAAATACAAATATGTCTTTCTCAATCCTTGTATCATATTAGCATTGCAGGTGGTAAACGGTGACACATTATTGCAATATAAAGAGAGGCAGGTGTTACTTTAAATGAATTAGCTCGATCAAAAAAGCAACTGGTATAGCAAAGAAATAAAGCTCAATTATAATCACCAGAGATAACAGAGGCAGAGGGATGAAATAGACAAGTCTCTCTATACATATAGGGTCAAAAGGATTGACAATGTATAACAGTGAGACGACAACAACAACACCAACCAAAAAAATAAAGTATTAAAAAACAGAGCATAGTAAGTAAGCATAAAAAGACCAACTGACCAAGTAAATACATGCATCTCTTAATCAGGCATCATTATTTATTTAGTTTCCCCAGAAAATAAATTTACTCACACATACACATCATGCCTTTAGCACATTTCTGAAGTAAACACGTGAAGTGGTCTGCATTAGAAAGCAATCACATTAACACGCTATTATTAAAAGATGGGTGCTTTCTCTTCTCTCGCTGTCTGTATTCCCATGCCTTTGGCACATTTCTAAAGTGCACATGTGAAGTGAAATGCATTACAAAGCAATCACATTACACACCATTATTAAAACGTGCATCACTCAATTCCTCCACTACACCCAATCAATTTTAGAACAACTAATCTAAAGAACCAATTCAACTTAAAAGCTAGCTGAGTTATTGGGTGAGGCTACATGCCCCCCACAAGAGAGTCCATTGGGCTTAAAAAAGTGAATGATGCATTAAGCTCAGCTCATCTGCGCTAAGAAATTTCACAAAAAAAATTGGGGGCAGTTGAACTCAGGACATTGTCTAAAGAACCAATTCAACCGAAAAGCTTTAGGTGTCAAGCTCTCCGGTGAGAATAGGTTAATGGTTTTTATATATCTCTAACAACAAAGTCTCAGAATCGAAACACACGAAAAATCAATCCAGCTGAAAATGGAAACAAAAAGAGTAACAAAAATAAAAAAGAACGTTGAATTTACCTTAACAGTAGTTAAAACAAGAGTGGCATGCTTCTCCTGAAACTCATTGAGATCCTTACGAACATTGGTGGCCACAGTGGGAACATCAGAAGCCTCAGATTCTTCTGCATTTTCAAACGCACTTACTCAAACCAAAAGAAAAAAGAAAACAAAATAACAGAAAATTGCAAATTCGTCTTCGAAAATTACCGGGATTGAGAGGAAAGTTCTGGAAGGTGGAAGAAGTGAGACCCTTGACGAAGGATCTGAGATCGTCGGTGACGCCAAACTTTTCAATGTCTTCTTCGGAAACGGAGGGTGCGGCAGAGGTGGCGGCGGAAATGGCGGAGAACTGAGGAGGAATTGCGATGGTGTCAGAGAGGGACTTGATCTGATCTGCTTGCTTGAGGGCGGCGGTCTTGATCTGGTCGGCTTTCTTGGATGCCTCGGCGGCGAGTTCCTTCGATTTCTTGGCGGTTTCGGAGACAAGATCGGCGATCCTGGAGGAGGAGGTGCTGCTCAAGGCTTGGGACTTCTTCGCCGCCTCTTCGGCGAACGTCTTCGCTCTCTTCCACAGGTCCTCCATTTTTGCTAACTCAATGTCAGCAAGAGAGAGAGATAGAAGAGCAAGAGACGTTGAAGAAGGAGAGAGAAAACAGAAACGATGTGAAAAATATTTGGGGTTTATTTAAGGATACGACGATACAGTCGCAGGGGTGGAGTCCATATATCTTTTCATTCTTTTGCCTTTTCTATGAAACGATGATTAAAATAAGAAAAAAGCCGTTTGTTTTTTCAAGACACAAATTTGTATCATTTTAAAATAAAATTATTATGTTTTAGTAAATTTTTACTTATTTTTTGTAATACTTTTATTTTTTCTCTTTCTTGAAAAATTATTAAATATGCATAAAAATATAACAATTTTTTTTAAAATGATATAAATTTGTATATTTTAAAATAACAAATATTTTTCTCTTAAAATAATTATTGTAATATTAATTTTTAAAATAAAAATCATTTTATAATATGAATATAAAAGAAGTACAGAATATGTTTGGACGGGATCTTGAAGAAATAGATGTAAATGGTAAAATTCATTGTACAATATTCTCCACAAGTGAAGTGGGATGTGATAATATATAAAATTAGAAAAAAAATATTTTTTCTTTTAATACAGAATTTTTTTTTTACCACACTCACATAAAAGTGAGTAGAGGTGGCAAAGCGGACTGCCCGCCAAAAGCCCGCCAAAAAGCGGGCTGGCCAGCCCCGCCCCGCCATTGAAGGTGGGCTAGATATCTCTGTCCGCCCCGCCCCGTTTGGGCGGGCGGGGCGGGCTGCCCGCCAAGCCCGTCACATTTTACACTAAAAATTAAAAAAAAAAAAAAAAATCAGCCCGAGCGGGCTGGCGGGCTTGGCGGGCAGCAAGTTTAGAAAACTCAGCCTGCCCCGCCCCGTTTGGCGGGCGGGGCGGGCCGGCCTGGCGGGCTCGGCCCATTTTGCCAGCTCTAAAAGTGAGTGAGCCTCATTTTGAAAATAAGAGAGAGGAAAAGTTAGTGGGATTCACTCACTTTTTATGTGAGCGTGGTAGAGAAAAATTTATACAGCAAAAATAGAAACACTAAACCTATAAAATTAATGTTTGGTCTAAATATTAATTTGAGAATTTTTAATTTATTATTTACTTAAACATTAATTTTATATGTTGACACGTCTAGCATGTTGCAAATGTGATTGTTTACTCGTTGACTTGAATTGCAACTCATTCATATCTTAGCTTATTATATATTTAGTATAGTTACATAGTGAGTTAACTTCTGATTTCACTCCCTTGACTTAACCATGAGAGACTGTTTTGTCATTGGTGGTGAGCCCAAGATTTATATTTTAATTTGTGTAGAAGATTTATAAGTTTAAATTATAGAGTTGCTCCATTATTTCTACAAATAGATTAATTTTAAAATTTGATAACTTTTTGTTAAATACAATTAGGCTAGTCAAGTTAACCGGTGGTAAGATTAAATTTAACATGTGTGTCAATCATGAACTCGGATTTGGGTCGTGACAAAGTTGGTATCAGAAATTAGCCTAGAGCGTTAGTTTTGTCCTTGTGGAATAATGAAGCAAGTTTCCTTTAGTAGAACTGTGATTGTGATTACGAAGCACATCATCCTCACAATTAGAAAGCTATGAAAGTCGTATTAGGATGTTATTTCCTTCTTCGATCATTCATTTTATTCATTCTTTTTCTTGTTAAGATTGATCTATTATCTTGTTATGTTTTGGATCCATAATCTTTTTACTCAATGTTTAGAGTAAAATTTTCAAAATTTGAAGTGTCAATGAAATATTTAAATGTGAACATTATGGTCATTAAGCTGATAAGAAGAATGTTGAATATCTATTGGTATAAGGACAAATTCAAAAAAAAAATCATGTAGATTTAATTTAATTTTGTAAAGAACTAGATGCTAACGATTATTTCAACATCAGTTATATCACAGAAAAAGGTGAATTAACATATAAGTCTCTTGTCCAGATTCAGAAAATATCAATCATAAAATTTTCTTGTCAACCATAAATCCCACCTTTACTAACTGTATGTGAGTATACTATTGGTATAAGCATATTTTTTGATTTCTTTATAAGGAGAAGCAAATGTTAAGAAACTCAGAGTGAAAATATTGAAAAATATGGAGAATGATCTTGCAATGCTTAGAACTAGGTTTTCCACATTTCCTTAGGAAGCACTTAGAAAGATGTACAAATACATACTAGAAAGAATGAAAGTCCTTACACAATTAGGCCTCCTTGAGGATATATAATGGCTTATTGAAGCTAAGATGCTTTTGACAAGTGAATTTCATATTTCATTTACTAAACACTATTAAGAATGAGGAAGAGTTCTTTTGCAAGAAGAGAAAGGTAAAAAGGATACGAGTATGTTATAAGTGTGCAAGATGGAATTGTGCATACATGACAATAATATACTATACACCATATCTTGTAGGTCAAGAAGACTAGTCGGGGGTCATAAAAATCAAAGCACACATGACACAACATAATTATCTTCTTCTTTTTGTAAATTATCTTTAGAAAATAATGAACAAGAATAACGAGGCATTATTGGTGTAGTCAAGGAACTACCCATCCACTTGAACCATGTTAATTTGAAAGAATAAGATGTAAAATGGTACCAATAAATAGAAAAAGAAGAAGAGATTCAAAAAAAAAAGTACAGTATGATGTAAAGGAAGATTACCATGAATACACATATTTTGACTAAGTTATCATGAACTTCAATTATATTAAGTAACTTAAATATCTCTTTATGTGTATTATGTTTGACTACACTAATAGAATATTCACTCATTTTCCCCTCTTAGTACACATAAGATGATGGGCTCCACACCATATACCTGAGCGATTTGTTGCCTCCACGCATACATTTTGTTGCTCGTTATGACAAAGGATTAAAAAGTAGTCACTATTATCTCCATTTATATATTTAGATAAATGAAAGCTATTTCTCTCATGTATGTGGGAGTGAATTATATCCCATGTGAAAATTTTACATGACCTGGTCTAGAAGAAGTCTAAGAAGATGAAAATGAAGATTATCGTGATAATACATATTTTGACTAAATTATCATGAAATTGAATTACATTATTAAGTAACTTAAATACATCTTTATGTTTGCTATATTTGACTACAGTAAGAGAATAGTCACTCATTTCTAAACATCAAATGTCAGTCCTGAGCGATATTGCCTCCACACATAAATTCCATTGCTTGCTTTAGAATAACGAATTACAAAATAGTGACTATTTTTCAATTTATTCAGATAATTGAATGATATTATTCTCCTATATGTGGGAGTGGGTCTCTTATGTGAAAATTTCACATGACCTGGTCTAAAAGAAGTCCACGAGGATGGAAATGAAGATTATTGTAAATACACATATTTTAACTAAGTTATCATGAACTAGAATTGCATTATTAAGTAACTTCAATTTCTTTTTATGTGTGCTATATTTGACTACCCTAATAGAATAGTCTCTCATAGTACACATCAAATGTTGGCCCTGAGGGGTTCATTGCTTTCGTGCTTACATTTTGTCGCTTGCTAGAACAACATATTACAAAGTATTAACTATTATCCCATCTATACAGATAAATGAAATCTTCCACTCTTTTATATGTGGAAGTGGATCTTCTCGTATGAAAATATATCAGTTACTCATTCACAAATAATGAATAGCAATTACAGTGACAAGTTTCTCTATCTTGTTTTACGAATTTTTCATTGAAATTGTGACTATTGTTCTATTAATGAATAATTAAAATCTAGTAATGCACAAAGAACCTAATCAAATTGTGAATCGGGCCACACCAAAAGAACCATATTTTTTGAACTGGTTTAAGAACCGAACCATTGTATATAAAACAAGTTTAGAAATTTAATCATTTTGTTTGAACCGGTTTGCAAAACATAGAATCCAATGATTTTTTTCATTAACTGTTGGTTTTTTGTTTTTTTATTTTATTTGTGTTCCTTGATATCGATTCAAAACAGACTTGAAACAAAATTTGATTTGCAAAATAATAAAACCGATTTGGTTCATCAAATCAGTTCAGTTTTCGAAACAAACCACTATAAAACCAATTTAGTTCGATTCCGCGCAAACAAAATTTAACTAGAAAGAATATCTCAATTTCGGCCTATAGCCCTTTGCTCTGTTCTTTACAAAGGCATTAGCCCTTTGCTCTGTTCTTTACAAAGGCATTAGCCCTTTGCTCTGTTCCTAGCAAGGGGTTGCATCAAGGGGGTCCCATTTTCTCTTATATTTTCGTCTTGTGCATGAAGAAGCTCTCTCATATTATTGCTGATGCAGTTGATAGGAAAGATTGGAAACCAATGACATCAGGTTAAAAAAGCCCTAAGATCTCTCACTTTTTATTTGCTAACGATCTCATGCTCTTTGCTGAAGCTAGTGTTGATGAAATTACATATATAATGAACAGCCTTGTTGTGTTTTGTAACATCTCTGGTCAAAAAGTTAGCTTCATGAAGTCTAAAATTTTCTTCTCCAAAAATATTACGGATAACCTCGTTGATGAAATTGTGAAGTTTAGTGGTTTTGTGCAAACTAAGAACCTAGGAAGATACCTTAGTTATATGATGAAACATGGGAATGTTAACAAAAACCATTATGGTGATATCATGGACAGAGTTCACAATAGACTTTGGCGATGGAAGAGGCAATATTTATCCATGGCAGGTAGAGTCACCTTGCTAAATCTGTTATATCTACTATTCCAATGTTTGACATGCAGAGTAGTCTTATTCCGGTTGGAATTTGTGATGAGATATAGAAACTCTAGAGAAATTTCATTTAGGGAGATTTCGAAAGCAAAAAAGCTCATCATCTGATTTCTTGGGAGCATCTTACTTTCCCTAAAGACTCAGGTGGGCTGGGAATCATTAATATGGGGAAAACATAATGAAGCCTTTTTCCACAAATCACTCTAGAATCTCCTTAACTCCTCTGACCAGCTCTGGGCTCGGGTCTTGATAGCCAAGTATGGTAGAAAAAAGATCTCTCCAAAGAGATCTATTGCAAAGCTTATGATCTCCATCTCTAGAAGGGCCTTTGCAAAGTTTGGTTGAAGACATTGGAGGGGTTATGCTGGCAGATTGGTTATGGCTCTTTGGTTTTCTTTCTAGTTTGATTCTTGGACTGGTATAAAAGATAATCTGCTCTCTCTGGCTACTTCTCCTCCGGATCCTACTGACTTGGATAATAAGGTTAGAGATTATGCTCTCCAACCGAATGATGGCTAGAATGTCCCCCTTATCATAAAAGCATTTTGACTCTAGAATCACTAATATTATCCTGGCCATCTCCCCTCCTAGTTTTGTTGCTGGCGCTGACTATTTATCTTAGAGGAACTGGAGTCCTAGCTCTTCCATAGTCATATTAGCTTACTTTCAATCTCATGGATTTTCAGGCTTCCGCTATCAATAGATCTTCAGATAGAATCTGGAAATAGAAAGGCCCTGAAATGATTAAGTTCCTCCTTTGGAAAATGTGTCATGGCAGATTATTAACCAGGGAAAGAACTTCTCTTTGGGGTAACAATATAGATAGATGTCCTTTCTGCATGGACAAAATGGAAACGAGTTTCCATGTTTTTAGAGACTGCCTAAAAGCTCTAGAATTTTGGAAGCTTCATCTCCTCCAGCCCCTTCCCCCGTGGTTCTTTGATGTGCATATTTTTTCTGATTGGTTGTCCTTACATCTTAATTTATGAAACAACAAACTAGTGGATTTGAGGGATTATTTTTTTCTGGTTTGCTATTTATTGTGGAAATGGAGAAATGCTAGCATACATGATGCTGATTTCTTGAGACCAAATAATCTTGCTGTTAAAATCTCGAACTTTATGGAGGCTATCACCTCTACTAGAAGACTGAAGTTGACCGGTACTGTTAAACTCAACATGCCAGGTACTGTTAAACTCAACATTGATGGGGCTGTTGTGGATGACAAGACAACTTGTGGTAGTCTCATCAGAGACTCTTTAGGAAACTGGCTTGATGCTTTTTCCTTTCTTCTGGGATCCTATTCTCCTCTTCAAGCGGAGCTTTGGGCTGTGCTTCATGGTTTAACCTTCGCTTGGGACAATGGCTGGAGAAATGTTGCTCTAGAGAGCGACTCTTTACAAGCTTTAAGCTGTCTTACCATTTTTTGTATGATTCTTGAAAGTTTCCTTTGGTAGCTAACATTCGAGATTGTTTGTGCAAGGATTGAACTGTTTCCCTTTCTTTTATTCCCAGATCTATCAACAGGTGCACAGACTGGATGGCTAAACAAGCTCTGAGCAACTACTTTGGCCTCTCAGTCTTCTCCTCTCCTCATTAGAATTTTATTCCTCTCTTATTGGTGGATATTCTATACCCTGGAGATAGTTCTGCTGCTCGCCCGATCTAGTCTGTTTGCAATTTTATTCTTCTGCTTTAGTTTTCTGGTTTTGTTTTCTTTCTTTGTTTCTATTTTGGGACTTTAGCCCCTTTGATGTACCCCCCAAAAAAGAGAGAGTTCAAAGACGCGTGATAATAGTTCAGTTTCGATCAAACATAGACATTTGACAATATTGTCATTGTGCGTTCACCTTCAAAATATGGATCGATACATAATAAACTTTAACAAACCACTTCAACAAAAAATCTTAAGGTGCTGGGTGAGAGTCTTTTTAATAGTTTATATTATTATCTAATACATCTTCTCACGCAAGAGCCTTTTGGACTTGAAGTATGATTATTATACAAAGCTCAATTTTTGATTTTCCTTATGCTTATTTTAATTCTACTAGAAAATGGAAGCTGTGAGAATCGAATTCATGACCACTTAATCACTAAGGGGGCGTTTGGTTGAGAAAATTTTTTTGGAATAGTAGAGAAATGAGATAGATAGAGAAATGATTGGAAAGATAGATAAAGTGAGATAGGTAGAAAAATGTAAAAAAAAGTTGTTTGGTGGGGAAAAACTTTACTGGAAAAATTAGGTGACTTTATGAAAGCAACAGTGTATTAAAAGCCAGATAACCGGTTTTCCGAAAAATCCCACCTTCAAATTGGGTTTCTAAACAGTGCGAATATCTATGTTTCTCATAAATCCAGACAAATTGGATAGATGGGTTTTTGGTGAAAAACGTTGAAACAAACATGGTGTTTCTAAAAGCCATACTTGAGAAAGATAGATATCTCCTAAAAAGCTCCCAACCAAACACCACCTAAGGCTCTATTAGCATGTTGTGAAGAGAAAAATTTCATTATTACCGAATGAATTAACTTATAAGGGTGCTCCGATACTTCTGGGGGCAAGAAACTCATACATGTTAACAAGAACTCTTAAACAGAAAGTCGGTTATACTACTAACTGCATAACAGAATCATAACTGAATACGAAAGTGGAAACAGAAAAGAGATTAAGTGGCTGCGTCTATATCTTAATTGGTTGCTGTGAATTTTGCATCATCCACGTCAGCATCTGTAATGTTTAGCAGTTGATGAAAGTTGAGCTTCTGAGCATTGGGCTCGATGGGCTGCTGCTTATTGGGCTTTGGAAATGTTGACATCTCACGTATTACAAAACAAGCCCCATAGATAAGCAAATGCATTGTGGGCTCCACCAAATGAATTGGATGACTATCGCAGTGTCTAAATTACGTTGATAATAGCATGCTTCCGTTACAGATTAATAGATTTGTTTACTATAATCAAGCACGTCATGCTGGGTTCCACCAAATATACAAATGGGATTCTGAGTTCCCGAGACCATGTTTTACGAAATGTTGGCCATGGTAACCTTCATTTGACTAATGATGCCAAGAACAAAAAGTTGATTAAGATATATAAATTAATAAAAAGAACTTGTTAGTTGGGTGAAGTCCTAGTTTCCTTACAAATTATAGGGTTTTGCTCCCTAATGTTGGCCACCACAGGCATAAGACAAAATACACGCACCACATAGTCCTAATTACACACATTTGGCAAAACTGTAACCTAAAAGGCCTCCTAGGTTGTGTTTACTAGCTCCGAGACCAGCTGGCCGGAGCAAAATAAGGTCACCTTTCTTCTCCTCACAATGTTTTATGGACCAACCGGCAATTGCTTGTTGTGTATGGGACGTCGTCTTCTCACGCTGGTATAATCCATAGTAAAGTATTCTGAATGGTCATCCCCCTCCATCCATTCTTGTCTTGTCCCCTTGTTGCCAAGCACCATGTTTTGCTTTCTATGGTATTGCCTCCCTGTAAAAGTTGCTTAATTTCATAAACATGTTGAATTCGTGAATCTTACATTTTAAATTGATATATTATACTTATGTACATGAGTGGATTGAAATCGAATATAAAATATGATGCATATATAATACAATGCCATTTGGCTTTAATATATATATATATAGGATATTGTTGTATGACTTATTAATTATTATATTATAAAACGTAAAAGCTTTATTGCTTTTGGGAGATATATTCGTGGCGTAATATATGTGAAGCTTGTTCACTTCATTGGATATATGTTAAATATATTAACGTCAATCGTATGCTACTCTTAATTTTCACTACTTTTTCCTTTTCACTTTGTTTACCCCTAACTTGGTAAAACCTCACTTGATTTGGTGCATGAACCTGGAAAGGCGAATAGACACATATATGCCTAGCTAGTACTCTAGAAAAGCTTTTTGAGGTATGAGATATGACATGAACAAGCTAATTTCACAAAGAAAATTCTTTGCATGCAAAGTAGTGTCCAATGATTTCTTTATTAGTAATTACTTACTAGTAATTGAGTAATAATAAAATGACTAACAATTTTTTGTTGATCATTACCTGCAGGAAGGGAATCCTCCTGCTTGTGTGATGCAAGATCTCTGGCTTCATCATATTCTTTAACCTACTTTTTAAGGAAAATTCAGGAATAATTAATATAACTAATAATAAACAATTAATATGGACTAAAGAAGGTTCTTCAGATTTACACAGTACCTTCTCAGCGAATTTTAGCTTTCTAGGTAACGTTGGGAGAGAAAGCTGCTGCTTGTGTGCATTGACTGCTCCTATTATATTCATATATAAGGAAGAACAGAACTAATGATAATAAGGAACTGACCCGAATTTAGAAACTTATTCACTCATCATATACGTTTTTATGATGAAATTTATAAAGAGAGAGCGAGAGAAGGTGCTTACCTTCATGCTGCAGGAGTGAAGGTTGCAGTTGAATTTGCAAAGAAGAACAAGTTGGTAATAGAGCAGAGAAGAAAATGCTTAAAAGAGTGATGATGATGATCATTGTCATCTCCATTTCTTTTTCTAAGTGGATGTGTGAGTGACTTTCTTCAGCAGGTGGGTTTAACTTATATACTCATCCAGGAAGTAAAACTAGCGCATGAGAGAGAGAGAGAGAGAGAGAGATAGAGAGAGAGCAAACACAAAGCACAAAATGCAGAGTTCCAAAACAAGTAGAGGAAAATCTTAAATATTCGTTGCTTACTTTTTAGGAGTCTTCACACAATTTGGGTTGGTTTTTTACCTAATACTGTAGGGCCCTTTGGTTTCTGTTTTAACAATGCTTATCCCATAGTCCATCACTTCCTCAACCATATATGCTAATTGTGAACATTCTAGATGCAAAAGCATCTCCATTTATTTTCACTTGCCCGTATGAAGAAAGAACATATTTATTTGATGCTTTCATCATTAATTATCTTAGTTTTATCTATCTATTATATATTTCTATTAGAGGAAAGATATTTTGATCTATTGATGAGAGAGGCAGTTATACAGTTATACTCTCCCTTCTTCAATGATAGGGACAGTCAGTTTACCTGTATGGCCATTTTCACCCTGAAAACTGCGTAAGACACTATCAAAGCGTTCTCTTCAATTAGTCCTTTTGTCGTACACTGACTTATGAGATATGACACAATATTTGTATATATATATTGGTTTAAATTATAGGTTATTCTCTTCTCAAGATGAAATTTTTACGCAACAAACACATTTATACTAGGATCAGTTCATGAATTCTGACATTTAAAAAAAAAAAATTAGAATCCGCGTACGTATCCTGATTTTATATAATGTTGCTGTAGAAATTTTTTTTACAATGAAAGAAGAGATATATTTCCCTTTCATAGGACTTTTTGCAGTACATAAAATTCACCCAAAATTAATATCTCATTATTGATTTGTTTATCATTGGTCAAAACTAACTCTCTCTTTATCGATCATTAATTTATATTAATTATCTTTGTTGCTACATTTATATTTGACTTCCAATTTGTGTTTATATTACATTATACGATTTAACAGTTGTGCACAAATATGGAAATATAATACTTTTATTAACTATGTCATTCCTTTAATTAATTCTTTGGCTCTTGTCTGTGATTTTCAAAAAAAGAAAGACCTATATGGGAATGGAACTTTCTGACTAGCTAGGGCAGTCTAGACCACAGTAAATTGAACTTTCTTACATTCACATTCACATGCCGTAACAGTGCAACTGTACGGGTTTATTATATTGTTTTACCCCCATTCAAGGCCCTCGAAACCCACCCAAACTTGACCAACATTCGTACAAGCCAAGAAAATGCTACTAGGGGTTCATGGTTTTATAAGTAGTGGGAAACTGGGAACTGCGAAGTGAATCAAATTTATTGTAAGCGTGGCAAGTCTTGCTTTCAAGTCACATTCAAGACATGCATACCGTAGCAAAGACTTGCGGATTTCAAAGCTAAGCACATGCATGCATCACGGTTTCATGAAACATGAGGACACGGTATTTCACGACAGGTTAGCTTTTTGTCCAAATATGGCCTCCCAAACATAACAATATTCTCCTTATTTTTTGCATCATTTTTGAAATTGTGTAGTACTAGCTAAATAGACAACAAAATTCTAATATTCACAATTGTGAAAAGGCAAGTTTGTTCATAAGTTCAAACAGTCCCTTTTCTATTAAAATAATTTGAATATAGAAATTACGTAAATAGTATTTTCAAAATAATAAAATAATGATCATAGACGTGCAATGTTATTTGTACGTACGTAGTATGAAAAGTTTAATACAACTCCATATGGTTATTATTGGTTGCACCACATTTCTATATACCAAAAAAACAAAAACATGAAAATATTGTTGCACCAGATTAAAATTCTACTAGATGCATGTGTACCACATTTTGTTTGTTTGTTTCCTTCCAATAACTTAATAAATACTTTATAAAAAAAAATAATATATAATTATTATTATTATAGTGGAGATTTTTTTTTTGATACATAACGGAGATTATTATTTTATTATAAAAATGTTGGTATCACTCATTAAATAATAAATTATATAGATTAATACAAAATCCCCTTGTTTATTTCATTTATTCTTTCACTATATTTCTTTTTTTGGAGATTACTTTCACTATATTTCTGCAATAAATGTACGTCGTTCGAAATCAATAATAATATTAAAAATGGCAACAAAAAAATCAAGAAAAAAAGGGTTATGTTTTTAATTTTTTATATGTACGACTTGGTAAAAATTTAGCAAAGAACAATGTGCCCCGTCAAACCTTTCCTTTAACAGATAATTAAGAAGCAAATCATATTGAAAACAATTTGTTAAAAAAGAAGTACATTTTTTTTATGAGTTTGGTGTTTGTCATTTTAAATAACATAAGTTATGTCATTTTAAGAGAGAGATAGACACAAAAAATAAAAATCACGGGAGAGAAAGTGAGTGGTTTATTTTAATTTAAATTTTAAATAAAAAATACTCTCTTAAAATGACAAATATTTTTTCCTTCTTTTATTGTCTCTCACGAGGTGTACTCACCACACTAATTTTGTTCGGAAGTCTGATAAGGTGATCCTAACCACAAAAGTATATATTTGATTCGGACTCTTGACGCCAATGTTTTAAAACTCGGACCGGTCATCGAACCGGTCGAGGTACTGGGTCACTGGTTTAACTGGGTTGGGTGGATTGAACCGAATTTACTGTTCACATATTAAAAATATAAAAATATTACTTATATTAATAAAAATTCACATAAGAAAACTATCAATGAGCTTCAAAAAATAAATTAATTTTCAATGATAATAAATATTATATACTTCTAAGCTTCTAGCTCTAGAGCATATCCTAATATTGAATTAAAATTGCAATATAAGTTAAATGCACCTTTTGTGCCTAATACGGATAAATTAAATCATGATAACAAATAGTATGCATGAAATATACACTAAGAAAAAAGTGTCACCGTTATCATGATAACAAATAGTATGCATGAAATATACACTAAAAAAAAGTGTCCACCGTTGAGATGAGATCATGAGACCATCAGTGTTTATCACCACTTAACTTCATGAGATCATTATAAGATACAACTAAATTACATAAAGAACTGCACTAATCTAAAATACCTTATTATTTTCACCTTACTTTTAATCATATTCATCATAAAATATGAATATGATTTAATTCAAGAGTTCTTATCAACAAACAAACAATTTACCCAATGGGTGCAGCTCAGTTGGTAACTTGGCGCTGAGTTAGTGGGGTTGGATATGTGTTCGATTCCCGCTGAATGCATTCTTGGGGAGGGGGCTGAACCTTTAGCCATCACTGTTCCCCCGCACTCCGGATTAGTCCCATAGCCGGCTCAAAGAGTCGAAGCTCGTGGAGATACCGGAGGGAGCCAACTCGTCTCAAAGAGATAATTAGGGTTGGGTAACTCCAAAAAAAAAAAACAAAAAAAAACAATTTACCAAAAAGAAAAGAAAAGGAATAACCGGTCTAACCCAAGTCAACCGGATCGTTGAGTTGCCGAGTTTCGGCCAGATCAACCGGTCTAATCCAGATTGACTGCAGAAGCGGTCCAACTACCCACTCGGACCGGGAAACCCACCAGGTCACTGAGTCAACCCAGCCGGTCCGAGCTAAATTTTAAAACACTACTTGACGCTGCAAGGAAAACATATCCACATGATACCTATATGACCAACTGAGTAACAAATGGTTAAGCATATATATGGTAAACACGTACTGGCCACAATTAAACATTATAATACCGTGAAGTAAATTTCAACCGAAGTTAATTGTGTAGTATAATTGACTTCTAACGGAAGTGAGCATTGATAATACGCGAGAGCCAGCTAGAGAACAAAAATATAATTAGTTTTCAGATATCGTTTAATTTGTATCAGTTATCATTCTAAATTTTTGTTTAGGTATTTCTTATATAATATAGAATTTCCTAAAATTTCATTGTCATATATTCAGTATTCTAATCAGTTTTCTTTTCCTTCGAGAAAAACGTGAAAAAATAAATAAAATATTTTCAAGTTTGTAGAATAAGAAAAAAAAAAGAAAAAGAAAAATGTCAACTAAACCTCTTCGTTACGCCAAGGTTAATAGGTTATCTTCAAGGTTTGAGTTTCTCGGTAATGCTATGAAAGGCCGCTGCAATGTGATACCGCTGATGTGCCTTTCTTTCGCTGATTATCTAAAAAAAAAAAAATGGCAATACTTTAGAGGCCTACAATGATTTTAGGTTAAAATATCCATTTTAGCCTTACAAGTTCACTTTATATTCGATTTAAGATATTTATGTTTGATTCTAGCTATACCAAAAAAAAGAAAAGAAAAAATATGATTGATTTATATATATTGTGGTATAATTGTTTTTGAAAGAGTTAATGGTAAGGAAATTGATTTTGAGAAATTGATGTAAAAAAAATTTATTTGTGTTTGAGAATAATATTTTAAAAGCAACTTTAGAATAATTAATTTTATTTAAATGGTAAATAAGAATTACTTTTAAAGTGTAAATGTAAGTATATTTTTAAAGTTTTATAAGTTCCACACCTAAATTAAGAGCTCGTTTGGATGATTTTTTTCTTATTCAAAAGCTACTTTTTTTAAGAAAAAAAAAAACATGTCTCGAAAAAAGTCTGTTTGGATGCCTATTTAAAAAAAAAACAGAAGTCATAAAAAAATTAAAAATCTATTTTTTTTAGAAGCTAAAAATTTTAACTTTTAAAAAAAGCAGAATTCAAAAGCCAATTTTTTTTTTTCAAAAATCAAATATTTAAAAAAAAAATTAAATAACTTTAACTTTTGTAAGAAATACTTTTAAAATAAGAAAGACATAAAATAATTTTTTTGAGAAGTCAATACAAATGGGCTTTTAAGTTCTACTTATCTCAAAATCAATTTTACTCACTATAACTTCACTTTTATTTCAGGTGGAAAGTAGCCAAACAATAATAGTTATTGTTGACCGTCATTTTTATCACAATTGGAAACGTGAAAAAATTACTACCCAAAGGCATTTAAACCTTACTTTGAAATCACTTTAAAAGATCCTTTTCAAACTAGGTAAAATAACTTCTTCCATGGCTTCCCTCGGTGGTGCATAGAGTTGAATGGTATTTCTTGTTTAATTTCCACATAGCTTTGCATGTGGGATAAATATTAATTAATTTCATATATAGCATTGATGTTGTATAAAACGTGTGTGTTTTGACATGAGCATTTGCAAATTTAATTTTAAATTATCTTAATTTTATAAAATTAATTATGATAAAATATAAAGGACGAGCCTAAAAGCAATATAATAAAATTGCTTCTTGTGATTGAAAAGTCACTGATTCGAGTATGGCAAATAGCTTATATGAGAAAAGATACTTGGGTAAGTAAAACAGGGACATTGACTATGTTGCCACCCTTTTAATAACAAATTACCGGATTGCCACGTCAAGAAATTTTTTTGCCAAAATGCCACGTCACAATCTCGCTAGTCTGACAAGCAGGAATGGTCTGGACACGTGTCAGCGTCTGAATGGTCAACCATTCTTGCTGGACTGCCCAGCTAGAATGACAGAATGCTGACACATGGCAAAAGTGCAGACATCCAGAGAATGCTTGTACTTTTGCCACATGTCTGCGTTCTGTCATTCTCGCTGGGCAGCCCAGCGAGAATGATTGACTATTCAGATGCTGACACGTGTTCAGACCATTTCCGCTTGTCAAACCAGCAGGATTGTGACGTGGTATTTTGACAAAAAATTTTCCAGACGTGACAATCCGGTAATTTTTTGCCTAAAAGATGGCAATATGATCAATGTGCCCGTAAAACAACATTGACTAGCCAATTAAGACCCTTATTCTTGCAAGTCATTGAACTTTATATACTATGGGTTTGCCTTTTTACCATTTTATTTTTGATAAAAAGTGAGTTTGAATTGACCTAATTTATATTTAAATATCTTAATCTAAAAAACTATTTGAACAAAAAAAAAATTGATAAACGCATAAGCAAGTATCGGATGCTTCTACTCATTCTGGAGCCAAACTTGATTGTATGGTTTGGATTGGATCGGATTGGTTTTCACCCACCCATCCAAAATCCGATCCAGTTCAATTAAATTTTGCTATTTTCGATTTTCGGTTCGGTCACCGCAGTTTGAATCGGTTGATGAACACCCCTAAATATAATGATACTAGAGTTAAATTCCTCCCATTTAACAAGTAGCCTTAAAAATTTATTGGCAGTAATATATATCATCCTGCAACCCTCCTCTTTCCACTTCTTTTATGTGTTCCTTGGTTATTTGTAGCAAATTACTTATTCTATCTATTTAAATAAGATATACCCCCCAACTGGAGGTAAATCTGTTGGTTCAACCCTCCCTCTCCTAGTAACTAATTAAGGAAACATTTTAAATTAGATTATTAACAACCAAATCAAGAGACTCTAATAATTAAACTAGATATATTTTAATTTTTTAGCTTTCTAGTTATATGATAAACCTTTAGTTTATCTTATTTTATAGACTAAATTAATATAAAATATCAAGTTAAATAAGTCAAAAACTAAGGTTTAATATAATAATCATGAACATTATCTGAATTTTTGTTTAATGGAATCATCTTTGCTATTTTTTAGGGATTTGTTGACAAAAGGAGTCAAAGATGAAGATTGGATAAATAGAGATCACAACTAGAAAAGATAAGATCAAGAGATGATAGAAGAAGATAAAAAAAAACAATAAGATTGAGGATCTTATCAAGTTGTTAGAAGTGGGAGCTTAAGCCCCCATTCAGAAGCTTAAGCTCCCTAAAAACGCAAATAGCTACTGCCTCTGGGCGCTTAAGCCCCCAACTCAGGGCTTAAGCGCGCCACAAGAAGAAAAAGTTGTCGCGAGGAGCGCGCTTAAGCGCCCTTCAGAGCGCTTCAGCGCGCAACGCGAATCAGAATTCACTGTCCTAGGGCGCTTAAGCGCGCTACAACAGGCTTAAGCGCCCAGACAGATCCAACTTAGGCCCATTCGAGTTTTCTACTAGGATACGAACTCTTGGCCAATAAAAGGGCCATTGGGGACCAGAAATACATAACTTTTAGATTGCTAAACAACTCTTGGGTGCTTGGAGGCGGAGGGAACGCGGAGAAACATCAGATTCATGTTCGTGAGCGGCGGAGACGGATCAACGTCAAGTGTTCACTGGAGATTTTGAAGATCCACCAATCACCTATGGAGTTTGGGGGAGCTTTTCTATTTTCTTTTGTTCTTGATTTTGCCATGTCCGGCTAGTTCTTTAAGTAGTTAGGGTTAGATGGATTTTAGTCGATTTATTATGCTTTGAATAATTCGTACGTTAATTTTCCTTTTTATCATGAATGAAGTTATCTGTTTTTAATGCTTTATATAGGCTTGAATCTTATATAATGATCATCGGTAAATGCATGACAATAGGGATGTTGGTGTGTGATCCATATCTGATAACTTCATCGTAAACGCTATGATTCTAGGGATAGACATAGAATTTGCGTAACCTTAAGATTCTTGAACTTAATGCTTGCATTCTTGGGGAATAACCGGGGAACTAGGGTTCTTTCAAGTTTGTAAAGGTTTTAGGGTAACAAGGGATTGAACTCTAATAACACGCGAAAGAATTGGTTAGATTGATATTAAGGACGGTTAACGTAAAGAAGGACTTCGACTCATAATAAGGAGCTTAAAGGAAATCGAACCCCTAACTACGTTTTTATTTTATTAGTTAAATCACATCTTTAATTTCTTGTCTTTAATTCTTGCAAGTAATTAGCTTAATATTTAATATTTTAATTTTGCAATTCAAATCCTGTTTCCAAATACACTTTCGATTGTCCAACTAAGTTTGCGATAGTGAATTAGTGCTTGGACCGTAATCCTCGTGGGAACGATCTCTTACTTAATCATATATTACTTGTACGATCGGTGCACTTGCCGTGAGTAGCAACAAGTTTTTGGCGCCGTTGCCGGGGATTACTATTTCAACATTAATAGTAGCTATTAATTCTTTAGATTGGACCTTATTTTCTGTTATTTAATTTTCTGTTATTTAAATTCAGTTTTATTTTCTTATTTTATATAATCTATTTTTCTGGTTTATGCGAGGTACCGTTGACACCGATTCCTTGCAATTCGACCCGGAGATAGAGAAAACAGCAAAAAGAAACAGAAAACTTGCTAAAGAAAGAAGACAGCAAGAGAAAGAAGCTTCAAGCTCAACAGAACCAAGAGAAGAAGCAATGGGAGACAACAATGTACCTCCACCACCTCCGAGAACGTTGGGAGATTACATGACTCCTGCTCGAGTTCCACAGACGGCGAGTATTGTTAGACCAAACGTGGATGCTAACAACTTTGAACTCAAGCCGGCACTTTTACAATTAATTCAGAAAGACCAATTTGCCGGAGGAAGCACTGAAGACCCTTACATCCATCTGGAAAACTTCTTGCTATATTGTGATACCTTGAAAATGAACGGGGTGTCTCGGGATGCTATTTTGCTCAGGTTGTTCCCATGTTCACTTAAAGACGAAGCAAGAGGATGGTTGCAATCGTTACCTCAAGGAAGCATCACTCACTGGGACGACTTGGCAACCAAATTTTTGGATAAATTTTTCTCATCTTCGAAGATGGCAAAGCTCAAGGCGGATATCACTTCTTTTGAACAAAAAGAAAGTGAATCTCTATACGAAGCATGGGAAAGATTCAAAGGACTGCTCAGGAAGTGTCCCCAACATGGCATTGAAGCCTGGGAGCAAGCGAAAACCTTCTTCCAAGGGATGACGCCGAACACAAGAACAGTGGTGAATGCTGCATCAGGAGGGTCCTTGAAGACAAAAACTCCAGAGGAAGCCTTGGAATTACTAGAGTCTCTAGCCTCTCAGGAGTATGATAATGCTCCCGCACCACAGAGAAGAGCGGGGATTATGAAGCTTGATGGCTATGATGCCATCTTGGCCCAGAATGATCAGATCCTACAGTCCAATAAGAAACAGCAACAACAACTAGATGCTCTCACAAAGCAATTTTCTGATTTTCAAGTTTCTTCTAATACTTCAGTAGCTCATGTTAATACTTTTTCTATTGTTTGTGATATTTGCGCAGGTGCTCATACTACTGATGACTGCAAGGCACCCGAAACTGCAGATGTTAATGGAATTTGGCATGATCAGAAAGTTCCATATAATCCAGGGAGGAACCAATACGGCAATAACCAGAATCAAGGGTGGAGAAATAAAAATCAACATCCAGGATTCAGTTATAGCTCGAATCATCAGCTAAATCCTCCTATGCCAGCACCACAGCAACCTCCACAACAATCAGAGTGGGAGAAAGCCTTTGCACAACTATCCAAGACCACATCAGACTACGTTCAAAGTACCAATGCATTCAGGGAAGACACTTCAACCTTTATGCAGGAGACCAGGGCCTCATTCCGGAATCAAGAAGCCTCTATCCGGAATCTTGAAACCCAGATCGGTCAATTGTCAAGGCAGTTCAATGAAAGAACCCAAGGCACTTTCCCGAGTAATACAGACGTTAATCCAAACGCACACTGCAAGGCCATTACCACTAGAAGTGGCATTGTAATTGAACCTGTGATTAAGCCTTCAGTAGAGAAAAAGAAAGTTGAGGGACCTGCCATTGAAGAAGAAAAAGAGAAAGAAGTTGACAAAGAGCCTACTGCAGAGAAAGCTGTTCCAGAAAAGAAAGAGTTCAAATGGGAGAAAAAGAAAGCTCAAGAAAGACAAGAAAAGCCATTGGAGCTCTCACCTTATGCAAGAATTCCATATCCGCAGAGGTTCAGAGAGGAAATCAAAAAGCAGCAGTATTCGAAGTTCCTTGACATCTTCAAAAAGCTACAAATCAATATTCCATTTGCTGAAGCCTTGGAGAACATGCCGAATTACGCAAAGTTCATGAAAGATCTCTTATCGAAGAAACGTAAACTGAAAGAATGTGAAACGGTTACGTTGACGGAAGAGTGTAGTGCTATAATTCAGAAAAAGTTGCCTCCAAAACTTGAAGATCCTGGAAGTTTCAGCATTCCCATAGAAATTGGCAACATTGATGTGGGAAAGGCGTTATGTGACTTGGGAGCTAGTATTAACCTTATGCCATTATCCATCTGCAAGGCTCTGGGGATTCATGAATTAAAGCCGACCAAAGTTTCACTGCAGCTAGCAGACAGATCTACCAGAAGGCCAGATGGAGTTATTGAAGATGTCTTGGTGAAGATTGATAAGTTCATATTCCCTGCAGACTTTGTCATCTTAGACATGCAAGAGGATGCTGAAATTCCCTTACTGTTGGGAAGGCCCTTTTTAGCCACTGCAAGGGCTATGATTGATGTGGAGCAGGGTAAGCTGATGTTGCGGGTTAATGATGAAACCGTAACTATTGATGTTCTTGAATCTATGAAACATCCTTCCGACGGAGGAGATTGCTTCAAGATTGATGTGATCAATGATGCAGTGCTAGATACAGTTGATGAAATACTCCAACCACTGATGGAATTGGAGTCATTAGAAGAAGATCTACTGCACAATACGACTGAAGCAACAGAAGGAGAACAAGAGGTTGAAAAGCTAGAAGAGAAAGTTGATGATATCATTCCAGGTGCACCAAAGGTTGAATTGAAAGAACTTCCTCCCACTTTGAAATATGCATTTCTTGGAGAAAGCAAGACATACCCGGTGATCATCAACATAAATTTATCAACCGCCGAAGAAGAAAAATTATTGAAGGTGTTGAGAGAGCACAGAACAGCTATAGGATGGTCTATTACAGACTTGAAAGGAATAAACCCATCTTTTTGCACTCATAAAATATTGATGGAGAATGAGGTGAAGCCAGTCAGACAACCACAGAGGAGATTGAATCCAACTATGAAAGAAGTTGTGAGAAAAGAAGTCGTGAAGCTCTTGGATGCTGGTATGATTTATCCAATCTCTGATAGTGCATGGGTGAGTCCGGTACAAACAGTTCCAAAGAAAGGTGGGATCACAGTGGTACGTAATGAAAACAATGAGTTGATTCCTACAAGAACTATTACCGGCTGGAGAATGTGCGTCGACTACAGGAGACTTAATGCCGCTACAAGAAAAGATCATTTCCCTCTACCATTCTTAGATCAAATGTTGGAGAGGCTAGCGGGACATTCATTTTATTGTTTCCTTGACGGCTATTCCGGATACAATCAGATAGCGGTTGCTCCAGAAGATCAAGAGAAGACAGCCTTCACCTGTCCCTACGGTGTGTTTGCCTACAGACGTATGCCCTTCGGGTTATGCAATGCACCCGCCACTTTTCAAAGGTGTATGCTATCCATATTTTCTGATATGATTGAAAATTTTATTGAAATATTTATGGATGATTTTTCTGTCTTCGGTTCATCTTTTGATGTTTGCCTCACTAACTTAGCTTGTGTTTTGCAGAGATGCCAAGAGAGTAATTTAGTACTCAACTGGGAAAAATGCCACTTTATGGTAAGAGATGGAATAGTCTTAGGCCATAAAATCTCAGAGAAGGGGATTGAAGTTGATAGAGCAAAGATCTCACTTATAGAAAAACTTCCCCCTCCCTCTAATGTGCGTGGTGTGCGTAGCTTTCTTGGACATGCAGGTTTCTATCGGCGTTTCATCAGAGATTTCTCAAAGATAGCCAAACCCCTCTGCAAATTATTGGCCAAAGAAGAAGAGTTCAACTTTGACAATGATTGTTTGATTTCTTTTAATCTTTTGAAAGAAAAATTGACTACCGCACCTATTATCACTTCACCGAATTTTGAATTACCTTTTGAATTAATGTGTGATGCTAGTGATTATGCTATAGGTGCAGTCTTAGGTCAAAGAAAAGATAAACTCTTGCATGTTATATATTATGCTAGTAAAATTCTAAATGAAGCACAATTAAATTATACTACTACTGAGAAAGAATTACTAGCTGTTATATATGCTTTTGATAAATTTAGAACCTATTTGCTAGGATCTAAAGTTATTGTGTATACTGACCATGCTGCCTTGAAATACTTATTGACTAAACAGGATGCTAAGCCAAGACTACTTAGGTGGATGCTTCTACTTCAAGAATTTGAGATAGAAATCAGAGAAAAGAAGGGAGTAGAGAACCGGGTAGCTGATCATCTCTCTAGACTTCAAGAGAAAGAACTTCAAGATAGTTCAGAATTGATAATCCGAGATGAGTTTCCAGATGAGCAAGTTCTCTCAGTCAGCACACTGCCATGGTTTATGAATGAGCAAGCTCTTGCAGTAGACACCGCACCATGGTTTGCAGACTTTGCAAATTTCAAAGCAGCTGGGACAATTCCTAAAGATTTTTCGTGGCAACAACGGAAAAAGTTTCTCCGCGATGTGAAAAGATACTTGTGGGATGAACCATTCCTATTCTACACATGTTCTGACGGAGTCATTAGAAGATGCATCCCTGAAGAAGAGATGAAAGATGTTCTATGGCACTGTCACGGTTCAGAATACGGAGGCCACTTCGCGGGAGAAAGGACGGCTGCAAAGGTTCTTATGAGCGGATTCTATTGGCCCACTCTATATAAAGATGCCAGAAAATTCGTGGAATCTTGTGATCGTTGCCAAAGAACGGGGAACATATCAAAAAGACATGAAATGCCACTAAACAACATCATGGAAGTTGAAATCTTCGACGTTTGGGGCATTGACTTCATGGGGCCTTTCCCCACTTCATACGGGAATAAATATATATTGGTGGCGGTGGATTACGTCTCTAAATGGGTGGAAGCGGTTGCTTTGCCTACCAATGATTCTAGAGTCGTGATCAACTTCATTAAGAAAAACATCTTTGTGAGGTATGGAGTACCAAGAGCAATGATCAGCGACGGAGGCACACATTTCTGCAACAGACAAGTTGAATATGTGCTCGCAAAATACAGTGTCAGACACCGCATTGCCACACCATATCATCCACAAACCAGTGGGCAAGTGGAAATATCAAACCGGGAACTAAAGCGTATTCTTGAGAAAACAGTAGGAAGCTCCCGGAAAGATTGGGCCCGCAAGCTAGATGATGCACTATGGGCATACCGGACCGCTTTCAAGACACCCATTGGCATGTCTCCGTTTCAAATGTTGTTCGGGAAAGCTTGTCACTTGCCGGTAGAGATGGAACACAAGGCTTTGTGGGCTGTCAAGTTCTTAAACTTTGATACAAAAGCGGCAAGTGAAAAGAGGTTGTTACAACTGGATGAGTTAGACGAATTCAGATTATCAGCGTATGAAAGTGCCAGCCTCTACAAAGAGAAAACCAAGAAGTGGCATGACAGAAAAATATTGGGCAGAGACTTCAAGGTTGGACAACAAGTTCTGCTGTTTAATTCACGGTTGAGACTCTTTCCGGGAAAGCTCAAGTCTAGATGGTCAGGACCGTTTCTGGTGAAAGAAATACGTCCTTATGGTACAGTGGAATTTAGTCTTAAAAATATGAGGTGGATGAGATGAACGTGCAGGTCTAAGTGGGAATAAAGCATACACAGGTACGCGAGTCTTATTTAATTAATCGTTGTGTATGATATATGCATAAGGGTGCAGTTGAGGTAAGGAAGAGATAGAGGAAAGAAGAAAAATATCTCAAGTATAAAGAGGCTTAAACCCAAAAATGATAAATCCTATCGGCCTCAGCGCGCTAAAGCTCCATGTATCGCTCTTAAGCGCGCTCCACGAAGAAACACCATTTGCTTCTCGCCTCTCCGCGCTTAAGCGCAGGAGAGGCAAAAGTGAAGCGCGCTCCTCGAGCTTCAAACTCCAATCCCAGGGCGCGCTTAAGCCCTCAAATGGAGGCTTAAGCGCGCTAATTGAAGAAAAATAAGCCATTTGCCACTGCCTCTCCGCGCCTAAGCGGATGAATGTCAAGAACATACAATTCTTGATTTCTTTATTTCGGGTATAGTT